TCAAGCAGTAGTAAACAAGGTGCATCCTACGAAACTCCAGTGTGGACAATACTTACTAGACTACACTGTACATACACCACTGTGCACTACAGTACATTCAATACTACATGTACCACACTGGACTGAATGTCCTCGCATAGTTTCAAAAAAAAATTCTCTGCATCCAAAAGCAATCATAATAATTTTTAGAAAAATGTCCTGTTTACCTCGTCCGAAGAAGTCCATGACTTAGTTATTTTGCCTGCAGCCCAGCCAGGAACACGTTCATCACCAGTGGCAGCGTCAGGTAGCAGATAAGAACAGGTTGTGACGAGTACACGTAGTACATTGATTCATTGATTTTTTTATTTTTTTTTAAGGATTGTCCACATGTAGTGGTGTGCAGTGCGGATACAAGAACAAGCCAGGGCAAGGATATCCTACTTTCCAATCCTACTCTTGACTCTTCAAATATACTAGAAGGAGAAGCTCAAGCTCCAAGTTCGATCAGGTGTCCAATTCCGAAAAGAATATTTTGGATAGGTGTCATTTGGCACGAAAACTTCTCAACAGGTCTTCACAGACATGAGGGAACTTGCAAGGCCAAAGTGGCCACGGACACGCAGCCATCAGCGCCCCTCCAACTACCTTTGCACAAGGCAAATGAAGGAGTTCTCTTCCTTATCCGAATTCCCAACCAATGTTCGAACATGTCTTACTGTGAAGGGTTTCAAAAAAAAATCAAATCAACTGCACCACGTGTTTTACTGGGGAAGTCCCTGCATAAATTATACTGCCACCGGAAATGCCAGTTTCCCTTGAAACCTAGCTTTTTGACGGCCGATTTTATCTGTTTCCACAGAATCGACCCGAGCACTGTATTACAACAAAACTCTTTGAAAACACGAAAGTCTCGGAAAGATAAACCTGTCGCGAACCATGTACATGTATTGGATACGGACCTCGGTATGGCCAGTTCACAGCTCGAGCGCTCAGGTCATGGTCGCCCATATCCATATCCATGCCCATGGCGAAGGTCAAGTGCAGAAATCGATAGTGCTTACATTGTCACGGCCGCGTGGCCCAACGGATAAGGCGCCTGACTACGAATCAGGAGATTCCAGGTTCGAATCCTGGCGTGGTCGAATTTTTTTTTATTTTTCTTTGTTTTTTTTCTCTTCGACACGAACTGGTCTGCACACTCAGGTAGAGAGAGCATCTTGACCTTCTCCATTCTCACTTTCTCTGTTCTTTCTCTTTTTTTCCTTCCCTGGCCTGTGCTCTCTGGCACTCTGGTTGTAAGAGAATAGTAAAAAAATACGTGGACTTGTCCAGGAATCCGGGCTGCTGAGATTCCGACGGAAATAAGATAACCGCGTACCGGGCCGCAGACCACTGAACAAGTATGACCATGGGAGTTCAAAACTGTCTTTTTTTGGCACATGTATTGTACACTGATACACGGACAGTCACACTGAGATAGTACTGTACTGTCTGTACATGATTGTACTCATAAGATCATGACATTAGATAAGCCTTGTTTTGTTGAGACCAACGCATATGGCCGATTGGTTTGCAGGCCTGCCTGCGAATCATGAGGTCCCGAGTTCGAGACCCGCGCTGGTAGCAGGGAGCGTGTAAAGACTTTTTACGTGAGTAAAGACTTTTTACGCGTGGTGAACTGCCCCGACACCCACGGTCAACTGGGTACTCACAGCTCGGAGTGAGGGTAACAAGGATGCAGTTTACAGGGTTATGGGCGTTACACGCCCGATTGGTTGAGAGACTCACCTACTCTCCCCTGACTCACTTGTTGTGAGGTCTGCATTCGCCACTCAGGTGTGCAAGGCATAGGCATAGTGGTGGCCTGCGGAAGCGAAGGCTAGTTTGTGTGTTTCTGAACATTCAAGCGATGCCAACGCGAATCCCGCGAATTATTATTATTATTATTGTTTTGTTGAACAACATTATTGTACTCGCACAGTCACTGACTGGTGGTGGACATGAGTCATGACCAGGAGCCGGGCCTCCTTGGATAGATGCATGTGCCGATTGACTTCGAGCAAGTAGACACGGTAACCACAAAGGTCAGGCTCGCCGGAACCGGTCCGGTTGGTCAGGTTATCACCAGACCAACTTGTTGGCCACCAACACATGTTGCCTACGGTGAAGGGCACCCGATTGACTTCGAGCAAGTAGACACGGTAACCACAAAGGTCAGGCTCGCCGGAACCGGTCCGGTTGGTCAGGTTATCACCAGACCAACTTGTTGGCCACCAACACATGTTGCCTACGGTGAAGGGCACGTGTACCCGTCGTATCATACACAGAGGATAAACAGGCCATGAAACTACCGGACCAATCAAAAACTGCTTCCGGCGGTCCTGCAAGTACGTGTACACGATTATAAAAAATAAATTTAAAATTAAATAAAAGCCGGTATGTGTACACGATTATGGTGTTAGATAAACCTTGTGTTGTTGAAACATGTTGTTGGTTTTCAGGCACGTGCGCCGGTACCGTTCAAGGGGGGGGGGGGGTTCCGGGGGCCTCCAGCGGGTACTGATATGGATAAGAACTTTTAAAATGCTTCTGTTCAATGATTGCAAACAAATACCATCGATCCCTTGGGGTTTCCACGTCCTAAAGTACAGGGGTGCGACTTACTCAACAAGTGCACAAAACTGCGCAAGTGATAACTCCACATTTGGCGTGACCAGCTGAGTCCAGAAAATGCCACCAGCCCATGAGGGGCAGAGGGGAATGTGCTCTCTTCGCCATTCCACGTACATATTCCAGGTGCGGCCTCTTAAAGATTATAATCGAATAATCGATCGTTATGATAAAGAGTAATCGATTGGGCTAAATGGATGATCGTTTCAGCCCTACTACTAACACAGCCCTACTGCCTAGTACTGGAAAACATGTGGGAACAAGAAGAAACGAGGAAAAGGACAAAACATAGGGGATGTAGGGGCGGCGTGCCGATGTGCTGGGAGCAAGTCAACCGACCAGAGGTCTCGGCGCCAGCTGCACATTGTATACATTGTATACCAGTATACTGCGATTTCTATTACAACCCTACTGCTGTACATGTACCGTGGAACTCGGGTAAGACGTACCCCTTGCGGCCTTGGGTTGTGGAAACAATACTAACACATCCGAGGTACTTCTTATCCAAAGTTGACTCCTGCGGCCCACACCCATACGACACATGTGCACTATGTCACAATGCTCGAAATTATTTATTCGAAAATTATTTCACCCAAAACCATACTAGCGGCTATGACTCTAGTGCATGGTACTTGTACATGTAGAGCTACCAATGAATCCATCGAAGCGACATCATAGTGACATCACAGTGACATCATAGTGACATCGCAGTGACATCGTAAGGACATCATAATGACATCATAGCGACAAATTATACTGCGAGGCTGCGAGCAGAGAGCAAACCCGGTAGTTCTGTATTCGAGCCTGGCACCATACCATACCAGCTCCCTGGCACGCTTCAAATCGAGAGACGGCTCGATGAGCTCATCAGAAAGTGAGTTTACCTTGGCACAGCTTGGCAGAACTTTTGTCACATGACTTAGTATTGCCTCACGGAGTATGAAACATTCTCTCTTCTCATTGGTCAGAGGGAAGCATGGATGCAGTGAATGGGATTTTCAGTCATTGACCACTTTGGTGGGTCTGATCTACTCACCTCCCACCGCTTTAGGAGCTGCATCTGTGCCTCGATCCTGGAAGGGTGGTGGCGTTCCTACGGATTCGGAAAACTCGGCCTCTAGCCAAGTCTGACACCGGAATTTTTATAAAAAAGTCAGATGCCCAGTTGAGACGAACGGATGACCTGGGAATCTGTAGTGTATGTGTGATGGATGCTCTTGCATGTTTTGCAAATACAGTAAAACCTGTCAAGGCGACCACTCGGATAAGGCGACCACCTGTCCTAGAAGACAACTGAAACCAGGACCAAGCGATGTGATTTCCAGTCAAATGACCCTAGATAAGGAGACCACCTGGTAACAAAGACCACGTTTTCAAGGTCCCTTGAGCGGTCGTCTCAGACAGGTTTCTCTGCAGTCAAACTACCGTATTTTCCAGAGCATAACACACGTCATTCACCCGGAGAAAAAAAGTCGGTGCGGCTTATGCATGTACTACGATGGTCAACTGAGCCTCGAAATTCAGGTTAATAATAATAATATTCGCGGGATCCGCGTTAGCATCACTTGTATGTTCAGAAACATACAAGCTATAGCCTTCGCTTCCGCAGGCCACCACTATGCCTTTCAGGTTAGATGCCTATATATCGTGACAACAAAATCTGGGCGCAGCTTAAACTCCAGTGCGGTTTATACCCGGGGCAAAAACGGTATTCATTAATTTTGGCCAACCGTAAGCAGTTGCCATGGTCACCACCTTGCTCTGCATCGTTGCCGTGGTTACTTACTCTTTCGAATCTGGAGATGTAGTCCTGGATACCGAGGGCATTCCAGTTGAGAGCGGCAACGCCAGGCTCGATCTTGGAGTTCAGGTCCCACACGTATGCATCCAGTAGCTCCCTCTGTGAGATCGCACGCAGTCATGATGGACAAATGGAAAGAAATGCAAGCATACACGTTGACACACAGACACGCACACAGGCATATATACAGACAACACGCAGATACGGACAGACAGACATACACACACACACACAGACACGCGCATACGCACGCACACACACACACACGTACGCACGCACACTTTGGTGCATCCACCGTTGAACTCATGGACAACCATGCTGGCGGATTCTCTCAGATTCCGCTGTCATCACTTTATTGCATGCAGGGGCGTCGCAAGGTATTTTAGTGTGGTACGGTCAGCCATCTGAAGTACAATTTACTCGTGGGGGAGTGGTGGCTGAGCCAAATTGTTTTGGAAATACAGATCCGAGATCAGCGCATTTGATTGATTCACAGGGTACCTGGGACGAGGAATGGTACGGTCAATACCGTAGTCACCGTAGCGTGTCCGACGCCCCTGGCATGGGCGTTGGGTAGGGCTGTGTAGGGGGGGGGGGGGAGGAGGAGGGGGCACTACTATCCCGCTACAGTTGTGGCAGGAAGGAACTGGTACATCAGTGAAAAACAACAGTAAGTGTGTCGAGATGTTCAGCTTTCAAGTCCCGGTCTGCATGGCTCAGCTCACCTCCGGCGGAGTAAGGCTGGCGATTGTGTCCCTGCACCGACGCATGACCAGGTCCAAGCTGTCGACGAGCGAAATGAACCGCGTCTCCTGTTGTTGCGTGTTGCACCAAGGACAGACAGAGACAGGCAGGCGAACAGGCGGGTGGATGGACAGACAGACAGACGGACAGACAGGCAGACAGACAGACAGACAGGCAGACATACAGACAGACATACAGACAGACAGACAGACATCAAGCAATAGCTCCTAAAATTCTTCAAACGATGACCGACCGTCTAGGATCCAGCTAGAAAACCCATAATGTACTAGTAAAGAGTCCAACAAAGCAACACGCGCCACACTTGATACCATGGTCCCTTTTGTAATACGGCATCATTTGTGCTAAGAACATTTTGCTATTAGGGAGGGTGCTGGATTAGCAAATCTGATTTACTGCTGCAATGTTTGCGTGGAGAGGACATTTTGGCTACTGAAATCTGTACTGGTTTATAGAGGGCGCTGCTTTATAAAGTGCTGGACTAAAGAGGGACGCCTGTAGGCCCTGTACTGTCGAATCTTAGTCCTGCTCGTGTCGTGTGGCTCGGCTACCTACTGATGTACAAGCCAGACAGAGAGACAAAGTAAGTTTAGAGGGAGAGCAGACACAGTCTCCCGATGATACGTGATCACCTGGCAGGCCACCAGGGGCATGCTAGCACGGCAGAGCATCAGTCACCATAGCAACATTTACCCTGGCAACAGTCACCATGGCATGGTAGCTATGATCATGACAACAGTGACAACACCATAGCCTGTGTGTGTTCATCTGTGGTGTGTGTGTGCGTGTGTGTTTGTGTATGTGTGTGCGTGTGTGTGTATATAATACCTGTAGGGATAAGTTCCTAGCCAGCTCAGGCACCATGGCAACAGTTACCAGGATATTATGGTCGCTATGAAAACAGGGACCATGGCAACAGTGACACCACAGTAGCCTGTGTGTGTGCACGCGCGCGCAAGCGCGCGTGTGTGTGTGTGTGTGTGTGTGTGTGTATAATACCTGTAGGGATACGTTCCTAGCCAGCTCTGGCACAGGATAGCCGAGTTGTTCCAGACTCTTCGTCTCCAGCACCAGCATACGTAGCTCGGCAGGAAAGTTGACAACGTACTCAAAGTAGATACACTTGGTAGACGACACGGCAATCGAAACCGACGACTTGTCCATCTCTGCGAGCAACAAATGAAACGTGAATGGCAGCGATAATGATTATGAATGACATCGTCGCAAGAGGTAACGCGTTACACAAAAGGAAATCTCCTTATGTTGTCTTATGACTGGTTCTGACCATAAAACTCTGAGTAACAACGAAACAGCCCTATTTTATTTCCTTTTGTGTACGTCTTGAGCAGGTCAAGGCAGTTTAAGGCCCACTGCCTCTGTGCATAACATGTCATCGTACAGTAATACCTGTCAAGACGACCACTCGGATAAGGCGACCACCTGTCCAAGAAGACCACTGAAACCAGGACCAAGGGATGCTATTTCCAGTCAAGTGACCCTGGATAAGGAGACCACCTGGTAACAGAGACCGCATTTTGAAGGTCCCTTGAGCGGTCATCTTACACAGGTTCCACTGTATATGCTTCGCACGGTGCGCCAGACTGCCAGTTTAGGGCGGACCATAGCATTGTAACACTCTGTAGTCTGTACGCACTGTAATTATGGTGATGATGTCATCACATAGCCACCACACGGAAGAGAGTGCACGAGTGACATCACGGGGAAAGTATTGGGCAATGAAAGTAAAAAATAAAATAAAATAAAAAGGACAAAATGTTACGAATTATGACTAACTGTCCACCAACGTAACCAGATCATTATACAGTCAGCGAGTGCGACAAAATGGCACAAAACTGACAAGGAGACAAATATTTTTGTCCTTCTCCTGTTTTTTTTTACCATAATTAAATTGGCTCACCATCCGAGTTCAACAATGAACGTAACTCTGTCAATAAATGGCACTGGGGAGTACTTGACCTTAGCTTCACATACGCACACAAGCATGCACACACACACACACACACACGCACACGCAAGTACACACACATACACACATACACCTTTTTGACCTTTGACCTTTTGACGCCCATCGCCGGAGGCGGTGATAGCGATGCTACAGCAGCAGCCATGGCAACTTGTGCTGGGATTAGCCCTTGGCAGATTCTGCTCGAAAAGCAGTGAAATTGGCAGAACCATACAAACCTTATGGCGCGCAATTCCTCAAATTCTGCTCCATTTCTTTGCCCACATACCAAACATGCATGAAACTTACCAGAAAAAGTACCGAATTCTGCCAGTTTTTCGGCCGGCATTATCCGCCAAGGCCTAGCTGGGATTGCACCATTCAGAAAAAGCCACACATACACGCACACGCACACACACACACACACACACACACACACACACACACGTATATCCTTACCCGTCGGCGGTCGCGATCCATGCGCCGTCACAGTCGGCTTTACTTTCTTGTCGACGGGATCGATCATGGCCGCTTTCCCTATGTGCTGCTTGGTGGGGACAAGAATCGGCTGCCGGAGTGTATCTGACAGATTCCCGTCGACGGCTTCGACCCATTCCTCGTAGGCAGTTGTCTCCTCCGCCTTAAGTAGCCTCGCCACCTCTCTGTACTTCTCACTGGCCTGGGTGTGAGGGCAAACATGCGGCACGCAGGGAGCAGGGTGAACACACGGAGACATGATCGGCAAGCATGCGTGCACAACGGATTGCTACAATGCTGGTCTGTGAAATCCGGTCGTGTCGCTCAAGTTTGTGCCTTGCACCATTCCGCAGTCCAGTGTTCACATGTCTAGGGCTGCGCAACGCCCGGCGCATACTCAAGTGAGGCGAATGGGTTTCATTGAGCAGCACTGTACAGTCGACTTCGCGTATAACGACACTCGGCGGGGCATCAAAAAGGTGTCCTTATTCGCGAAGTGTCGTTATACCCGAAGTCTCATTATATGTATTACAGTGGGATGGGACTTTGCTCTGGGCATGGAAATTCTGTCGTTATTCGCGAATTGTCTTTATATCCGCAGTCGTTATTAGCGAAGTTGACTGTATATTGAGAAAAACCCGCATGAAATCTTGTGCTATCGGCACACAGGGTATTATGCAAATTCCACGGCCTCCAAACTAAAGAACAGATGTTGAAAACGGCTGTTCACGGATCATATGAGACTCAGTTATACTGAGTTTTCCACGTCCGTGGGAACACCACCACCATCTAGTATCAATGTGCAGACGCAGATCTCTAATCCTCTATGCAGACACACACACCGACACAATCGTATGTACATACAAACAGACGTACCAGTCGCCCGCTCTCTCCCTCCAGCATTTCCTTGGCATTCTGGAAGCGGATGATCAGGTGCTTGATGTTGAAGAACAGATCCTGCGCCCACTTGATGCGCAGGGCTGTTGGCGTGACGTTCTTCATTAACGGCGGCTTCTTGAGATACTCATTGTAGAGTTTTCTTACAGCCTCGACCTATCACAACACAAAACACGTAAACAACAAAATTGACGGTTCGCGTCAGACTCAGCTGTAGGTCGAGTTTTCCGCATCCGTAGAAACGCCACCGCCGCCCTCTTGGGTCAAGGTGCACAGTCATGCAGCTCCTAAGCGGTGGGGTTTTCGGTCTTTGACCACTTAGTGGTGGGTCTGATCTACTCGCCTCCCACTGCTTAGGAGCTGCATACACACAAACAAACAAACACACACATACATACATACATACAAATGCACGCACGCATGGGGAGAGGGGGGGAGGCAGGCACATGGATCAAATGAAAATGACGTGCGGCTTATGGATGTGCATGAAGATATTCTGCAACGTGAACATTCACAAATGTGCCCGTCCGGGTTGAAAGCTGTGATCGTCTAGTGGTTAGGACCCTACGTTGTGGCCGTAGTAACCCAGGTTCGAATCCTGGTCACAGCACACTTTTTTTCTTTTCAAAACATGCTCACACATACACCGTATTAGCAGGGTACAACTTTTTCTTTTAAATAATTTTCACGATGAGAAACTTTTACGATATTTATCTCTTGCCTTAGATCATGAACTGTCTCCAATAAATACACAGAGCAGGATACGGTGATCTATATTGTCCAAACTCACGTGGTGGTTGCGAAAATAGCAAAACTTATTAATCTCTAGCGAAAGTACCCCACTTTCCGATACACACGCAGGACAATAGAAAGTACAGTAGTGCGAGTATTTCCGATGCTCATACTACCGGTGCCGGCTGCTTTTAGGAATATGCTTTCGAGTTTGCGTACGTCACTTTCAGCAGAAATCGAGTTGGATTGTGTCACATGACCACACAGGACAGACGTGTTGTTACCAACTCCACTCAACCCTCCATTCAATCTATGGGTCACACGGTGTTGGTGGCCATGTTGGGTTTCTCTGTCCACACGACATAATCACTTTCAGCACAAATTGAGTTGCATTGAGTCACATGACCATACAGGGCAGCCATATTGGCTACAACTCCACTCAACCCCTGCATCTATGGGTCACATGACGTCGGTAGCCATGTTGGGTTCCTCTGGCCACATGTCATGATCACTTTATACACAAATGTGGGCATATGACCATTGACCAAGATGTGTTACCAGTTAATACCACTCCATTGGGTCAGCTACTTTTTTTTTACTATTGACACAGCCCTACTGGAAAACAGGTGGAGAACAAAAAGAAACGAGGAAAAGGACAAAACATAGGGGATGTAGGAACGACGTGCTGATGTGCTGGGAGCAACTCAACCGACCAGAGGTCTCGGCGTCAGCGTTGCAACTAGGCATCGAAAAAATGGGGGGGGGGGGGAGGTTGCACAAGAACAACTGCAAAACAAACACCTTTTGCCACAGGGTCCACTTTGTTCAGCTCCGGCCCTTCGCTCTCAACGCCCATGTGTCCCGGCTCCCGTCTGCTATCGTTTATCACCTCCCCTTCTAACCCGATGACTGTAGACGTCTGTACTGTGTAAACCGCATCGCGTACTCCCTGCGTCCAATAGGTGACGACCGATGCGCATCCTGCTGTGAAGTTATGCACTCATGAACGTCTTAGATCTCAACCAGCACAAACCATGTGCCTGTTCGGGTTCAAAGCTGTGATCGTATAGTGGTTAGGACCTACGTTGTGGCCGTAGTAACCCAGGTTCGAATCCTGGTCACAGCACACTTTTTTTTCTTTTCAAAACATGCTCACACATACACACTATTATAAAAGCAGGATACAACTTTTTCTTTTAAATAATTTTCACGATGAGAAACTTTTACGATATTTATCTCTTGCCTTTGATCATGAATTGTCTCCAATAAATACACAGAGCAGGTTGCGGTGATCTTATTGTCCAAACTCATGCGGTGGTTGCGAAAATAGCAAAACTTAATCTCTAGCGAAAGTACCCCACTTTCCGATACACATACAGGACAACAGAAAGTAGTGCGAGCATTTCCAATGCTGATACTACCGGTGCAGACTGCTTTTAGGAATATGCTTTCGAGTTTGCGTACATCACTTTCAGCATAACTCGAGCTGGATTGAGTCGCATGACCACACAGGACAGACGTGTTGTTACCAACTCCACTCAACCCTCCACTCAATCTAGGGGTCAGATGACGTCGGTAGCCATGTTGGGTTCCTTTGTCCACATGTCATGATCACTTTCTACAAATCGAGGTGCATTGAGTCACATGACCATACAGGCCAGTCATATTGGTTACAACTGCACTCAACCCCAGCATCTATGGGTCACATGATGTCGGTAGCCATGTTGGGTTTCTCTGTCCACACGACATTGATCACTTTCAGCACAAATTGAGTCACATGACCATTGACCAAGATGTGTTACCAGTCACCACTCCATTGGGTCAGCCGTAGTACATTTTTTTTACTCTTGACACAGCCCTACTGGAAAACAGGTGGAGAACAAAAAGAAACGAGGAAAAGGACAAAACATAGGGGATGTAGGGACGACGTGCTGATGTGCTGGGAGCAACTCAACCGACCAGAGGTCTCGGCGTCAGCGTTGCAACTAGGCATCGAAAAAATGGGTGTGGGGGGGGGGGAGGTGCACAAGAACAACTGCAAAACAAACACCTTTTGTCACAGGGTCCACTTTGTTCAGTTCCGGCCCTTCGCTCTCAACGCCCACGTGTGCCAGCTCCCATCTGCTCTCGTTTATCACCTCCCTTCTAACCCAATAAGCCCATTGCGCAATGACGTAATTTGTACCTTAAACACCCCACACAGCCCCCTGGGCATGGTCGTCTGGGGTGTAGAACAGTGCATCCCTGATCCCAGCGTACTCACATAACACCCCACACAGCCACCAGGGCATGGTCGTCTGGGGTGTTAAACAGTGCATTGCTAATCTCAGTGTACTCACATGCATTACTCATACTTTCCATATTTGGCAATGGGCTAATGACTGTAGACGTCTGTAGTGTATGTACCAGACATGTATTCATCTAATTGCAAGTACTATTGATCCACCCTAAAACCACAACCGCTTAGGCATGAACTCTCTATAGCAATTCATTGTACTGCCACCCAACACCCAACGCATCCCGCACCCGGGATACAACTCCTATATCCTCTAGCACAATCATACCTCAACGCTTCTTATTGCTTTGCAACCGTAGAATAAACTTGTATGTAAACTCTACGTGTGAACCCACAGTCTCTTGGTTAGAGACACAACAACTGGCGACGAAGATGGCCGTTGCAATTGGAGCCATGGAACCATTTTCGGTTGGAACGACGGATTGGTCTACGTACTATGACCGCGTCGAGCAGTACTTCGCTGCCAACAATGTGGCCGAAGACAGGCAAGTAGCCACCTTCCTGACCCTGATTGGTGGCTTGACCTACAAACTGTTGGCTGACCTGGTCAGCCCGGACAAACCGAAGGACAAGACGCTGAAGGAGCTGTCCGACGCGCTGGCTGCGCATTGTGCTCCGAAGCCCTTGGTGATCGCGGAACGATACCGTTTCCACAAGCGGGATCAACGCCAAGGAGAGTCAGTAAATGCCTACCTCGCGGAGCTCCGACGGTTGGCACGATTCTGTGAGTTTGGCGATGTCCTGGATACCACTCTGCGGGATCGGTTCGTGTGTGGTATCAGGAGTCAAGCTCTCTGCAAAGTTCTGTTGGCAGAGAAGGACCTCACTCTGAAGACCGCCATCGAGAAAGCCAACAGCCTGGAGGTAGCTACTCGCGATGCATCCGAGCTCGCGGGCAGTGCCACTGCTCCTGGTGTACACGTTCTGGGCACATCGCAACATCGTCGTGCTGGCAGACCATCGTTCGGAGGTGCGAAGTCCGCGAACTCAGGTCAATCCCGTACGAGCTATTCAGCATGCTTCCGCTGTGGCTCGACGGCACACGGCGCAAGTGAATGTCCCTTCAAGGCATATGAATGCCGCCACTGCAGGAAGACTGGGCACCTCCGCAAGGTTTGCAAGAAGCGCCTCGCGGAAAGATCGACAGATTCAGCGAAACGCTCAAGTGGTAGCAGCGCCTGCCACAGCTTGGCTGTCGATGTCGCGGACGACGACGAGTTCAATTCACTTTCTCTTCTAGCCGCAGACGTCCTTCAAGCGCCAGCAGTCGCCACGGATGAAACGACACCCACGACCGTGCGGAAGGCACTTTGGATTGATGCTATCGTCAATGGCCAGTCGGTCAGCATGCAGGTCGACACTGGAGCTGCGGTGTCAATCATTCCGAGTGCGATTTATCGAAAGTCGCTGTCTGCCTCGCCTCTCACCGCGAGCAAGCTGAAGTTGCGTACGTACACCGGCGAGCCCGTGCATCCTCGCGGAACGTTCGTAGCACGCGTGGAATACTACCATCAATCCGCGGAGCTACCACTGCATGTGGTGGACACGCAGGGGCCAGCGCTCTGTGGCCGGGACCTGCTTGCCCACATCGCTCTCGACTGGCAGCGCTTGTTCCAGGTCGAGATGGCTGACGTCCCCTCCGCAACCGTGTCCCCTGGCCAGCAGCATCCAGGATCAGCAGGTACGCGTCTTGAGCAGCTCAAGGAGAAATTCTCCGATGTGTTCAGCGACGACTTTGGCAAGCTCAAGGACGCCAAGGCTCGTCTCCAGCTGAAGGACGATGCAAGCCCTCGCTTCCTCAAGGCGCGCCCATTGCCCTACGCCATGCGGCCAAAGGTGGAAGCTGAACTGGACAGGCTGGAAGGTCTGGGTATCGTGAGTAAGGTACAGTGGAGTGAGTGGGCGACACCTATTGTGCCTGTGATGAAGCCCAACGGCTCAGTTCGTCTCTGTGGAGATTTCAAAGCCACATTGAATCCACACCTGAAGGTGGACCAGCACCCGCTACCACGCGTGGAAGATGTCTTCGCCACCCTGGCTGGAGGCCAGCGATTCACCAAAATCGACCTAAAGCAGGCATACCTCCAAATGGAGATGGATGACGCATCCAAACCACTCCTCACACTCACGACGCACAAGGGCCTGTATCAGCTCAACCGACTCGGGTTCGGTGTTGCCTCTGCCCCAGCGCTCTGGCAACAGGCTATCGACCGCATCTTGCACGGCGTCCCAAGCCAGGCCTGCCTACTGGACGACATTATTGTCACCGGCCGCAACGACGATGACCACCTTGACAATGTGGAAAGCATCCTGAGTCGTCTGTCGGACCACGGCCTGAGAGTCAACCCGGCCAAGTGCACGTTCTTTGCAGACCAAGTCGAGTACTGTGGACACATTGTCAGTCGCCACGGCTTGCGCAAGACTGATGGCAAGGTCAAGGCTATCAACGAAGCCCCAGCACCGCAGAACGTGTCCCAGCTACGGAGCTTCTTGGGCATGGTGTGCTACTACCAGCGCTTCCTCAAAGACTGCTCCACGACCCTGCATCCACTCAACAACCTGCTCCAGAAGGGTCAGTCCTGGCGCTGGACAGCTGAATGTGCGGCTGCATTCAAGGCTATCAAGGCAGCCATCGCCTCGGATCAGGTCCTCATGCACTTTGATGCCGACCTGCCCGTGCAGTTGGCAACCGACGCATCGCCATATGGCCTGGGGGCGGTGCTCTCGCACATCATGCCGGATGGTACGGAAAGGCCGATTGCCTTCGTGTCACGGTCCCTGACGGACACCGAGAAGCGGTACGCCCAGATCGATAAGGAGGCGCTCTCTATTGTCTGGGGCGTCCGCAAATTCCACACGTACCTGTTTGGCCGACCGTTCGTCCTGCTGACGGACCATGAGCCGCTGACAGCCATCTTCAGTCCTAGCAAGGGATTGCCAGCCATGACGACGGCCCGCCTACAGCGGTATGCTATCTTCCTAGCAAGCATGAATTATGAGATCAAGTACCGCAAATCAGCCGATCATGCAAACGCTGACGGCCTGTCACGACTACCGTTGCCACACTCACCACAGGATGAGAGCCTAGACTGGGCAGACGTGTTCAACATGGCCCAGATCGACCCGCTTCCAGTCACGGCAGCTGAAATTGCGCGTCACACAAACCGTGACCCAGTTCTCGCCAAGGTCCTAACCAGTGTCAGCACCGGACGGGCCCTGTCAACAACCGACGGTGACATGCAACCGTTTGTACGACGCAAAGATGAGCTGGGCCTACACCAAGGGTGTGTCATGTGGGGAATCCGTGTCGTCATTCCTTCCCCACTGCGCCACCGAGTACTGGAGGAGCTGCACAGTGGCCATCCTGGGCTGGTTCGGATGAAAGCACTAGCCCGCAGCTTTGTATGGTGGCCAGGCATCGACACAGACATCGAGCAGACCGGCAAGGCCTGCCTTGGCTGTCAGGCACACCAGGCGGCGCCACCGAAGTCACCGCTACATCCCTGGGAGTGGCCGTCCAAGCCATGGCAGCGTCTCCACATTGATTTTGCCGGGCTGTTCCAAGGGCACATGTGGCTGATTGTGGTGGACGCCCACAGTAAGTGGCCAGAAGTGCTCCCAATGAGCAGCACCACTGCCCCAGCTACCATACGCCGTCTCCGAGAAGTGTTTGCTCAACATGGCCTACCGGACCAGATCGTGAGTGACAACGGCCCGCAGTTTACTGCAGATGAGTTCCGCCGTTTCACAGAAGCCAACGGCATAACGCACACGTTCTCAGCACCGTACCACCCAGCGACTAACGGGTTGGCTGAACGATTTGTGCGTACAATGAAGCAGGCACTCAGGTCCCATTCTGCCACAGCACCGATTGAGTTCTTGCCTCGCTTCCTGTTGGCCTATCGCACCACACCCCATGCTACAACGAATGCCACACCAGCATCCCTGCTAATGCACCGGGAGCTACGCACTCGGCTGTCGCTGGTTCAACCCAGTGTCCAGGCATCTGTTGCTAAGAAACAGACAGCTCAGCGTAGTGCAAGATCAGCGAACCGTGAGCGCACGTTTGCTGTGGATGACACCGTCATGGTACGTGACTACCGCACCAACGCACCACACCCGTGGATTCAGGGCACAGTGCAAGCGGTACACGGCTCCCGCCACTATACAGTGGAAGTTGGCCCGGACCAGCAATGGAGGCGCCATGTTGAACAGCTCCGGTCAGCCGACTCCGCTCCGAAATCGTCCGTACCGATGAACACAGCGCCTTTGCCGTCCGTGGCAGAACCGGATCACAGTTTGTGCTTTCCGACTGCTCATGTGCCAGCTAGTGTTCCGACACCACCCAGTGTCCAAGCCACTGCTACTCCAACACCTCCGCCTGCGCAAACACCAGTAGCTGCAACTACGGCAACGCAGCAGGTCCAGTCGCCGCTGGCACAAGATACGACTGAACCCCGCCGTAACCCGCCGAGAGCCCGAGTCCTGCCGGCTCGCCTGAGAGACTGAATTGCTTCTTGCTCACACAATTGCTGTCCCGTGCTCTCAGCTCATCCGCTTCTTCTTCTTGTGCATTAAATGTTATGCCGTATAGGAATACCTCATAGCTCAACATGTACCATAACATTTAGGGGAGGAATGTAGTGTATGTACCAGACATGTATTCATCTAATTGCAAGTACTATTGATCCACCCTAAAACCACAACCGCTTAGGCATGAACTCTCTATAGCAATTCATTGTACTGCCACCCAACACCCAACGCATCCCGCACCCGGGATACAACTCCTATATCCTCTAGCACAATCATACCTCAACGCTTCTTATTGCTTTGCAACCGTAGAATAAACTTGTATGTAAACTCTACGTGTGAACCCACAGTCTCTTGGTTAGAGACACAACAACGTCTGTACTAGCAACCGCATCGCATACTCCCTGTGTCCAATAGGTGACGACTGATGTGCATTCTGCTGTGAAGTTATGCACTCATGAACATCTCAGATCTCATCATGCACAAATTATGTGCCCGTCCGGGTTGAAAGCTGTGATCGTCTAGTGGTTAGGACCCTACGTTGTGGCCGTAGTAACCCAGGTTCGAATCCTGGTCACAGCACACTTTTTTCTCTTTTTTTCTCTCTCGTCTGAGTGGGGCTGCTGAGTCTACGATGAGGAGGGCTATCCAATTCATGCGGGATAACAAACACCATACGCAATATAATATTTTTAAAGGATTGGGATCCTTTGCACACTCATTTACATGTTTTTTTCTTGACTGGGATTGGCGATGAATGCCGGGAGAACACCACACTCTGATAGACGTACATGCTGGCCTGCAGTCTACAGCTGCTGCAGGTCATGTGCCCATGCACATCAGAATCATGTGATTTGGCAGCATATCCTGTTATGTATGTGTATGTGTGAGTGTGTGTGTGGGGGGGGGGGGGGGGGGCTGATAATTTTGCCAGGTTTCATTATCATAAGATCTTCAACTCTCAGCATCAAATCTGCTAGGTTCCTGAATGAGTACGGAATACTACGAATCTCTAAAAGTCACGGCGAAGAAGAGGCTATAATTATAGCAACCAACACCACCATCACACATGCACACACGCAGGTATGTGCGTGTGTGCATACACATGCGCACGCACGTGTACACACAAACGATTATCATGTATCTGCATGCACCTCCCACACACAAGTACATACACACATATACACGTGCACACACACCACGTACACATTCATACACACAAACACTCCCCCCCCCCCTCACACACGCACACACACACACACACACACACACGCACACACATACGCACAGTACCTCTTTCATGAACTGGGCGAGAATCTCCTCCTTCTTGGCAAGCACACGCTCCGAGATGGACTTGCGTGTCTTCACATGCTTGAAGTTCAGCAACATGTCGAAGGCTGCCTCGCTGGAACGCAGTGTCTCGAACGATTTGTCAATGAAGTCATTGATGGAATGCTCCAAAGCACGACCTCGTTCCTGCACTGTCTCGATTCTCTGCAACAAAAAAAAAGAAATAAAAAAGGTTAGCTAGACTAACTTCGGGACCACATCTCCTCAGGAACACATCAAGCAAATACATTTGCATCGGCGGGCCACCACTTCGCCCATATATCCTCAGTGTCGCATGCAGATTCTATGCAAAGTGGACACAAGGATGAATGACAAACACTACAGTCCATTCAGAAAAAAATGAACTTCTAGCTTTTGGCCATAAATGGGTCAAACGTTGAGTTTTTTTAGAATTTTTTTCTGCAATCCCATATGGAATCCTCTTCCAATTATGTTTCTGAAGTTTTTTTGTCCAAAAAGCAAGCCATAGCAAGAATAGGACTTCGGCCAGGTTTTGCCCCAAAAGCACTGAATTGGGAAAAACCATCAAAATCCAGGCCGTTTGACCCCGCCTGCAACAGTGCATTCTGCGGTTCGAACCCCAGTTCAGGCACCCTTTTTGGACCCTTTTTCAAATTTCAAAGTTCGCAGCACTGCACTGTGTACGATGAAATCACGAAAAATCGCCAAATACGGGAGCTCGCCAGAGGCAGGACCCATCTTTTTATGAATGGACTGTAGCAGTGGCAAGTCTTGATCCTGCAGTGTTGGTCGCCTCAGTATATGCAGTGCTGTACATTGGATTGAATGAATGGCCGGGAGATCTAGTGGACGGAGAGATCTTTTTATGCATCTTTAACGAGCCTAGATGTGGCGAATGGGGCCTTCGCCACTCATGCCAGTGGTTTAGTAACGGATCTACAAACCTCACTGTCAGGTGTTGTATTTGCCGCTGGGTTATTCCGAATATCAGAGGCTGCCGTGAGTACTTCAGGAACGGAGACGTTTTTTTTTAAAATTTGTGATGAATGCTTGAGGAACGGATGCACAACATCAGTGCCCCTGTTTCAGTTGGCTGGTTAAAACAAGGACGGCACTGGAACTAGTCTCCCGACTGCAAGTTTCCACGCAAATTTGCACACTGCCCCGCAATTCCTCGTGATCACGCGACATGATTCCTCGTGATCACGTGACATGATTCCTCGTGATCACGTGACATGATTCCTCGTGATCACGTGACATGATTCCTCGTGATCACGTGACGAGATTTCTCGTGATCACGTGACATGATTCCTCGTAATCACGTGACATGATTTCTCGTGATCACGTGACATGATTCCTCGTGATCACGTGACATGATTCCTCGTGGTCATGTGATATGATTCCTCGTGATCATGTGACAAGATTCCTCGTGATCATGTGACACGATTCCTCGTGATCATGTGACATGACAGCACGTACAGTACAGTACAGACACACGACATGGGTGTGTGAGACACGCACTAGTTCACACTGCCTACCTGTGACCAGGCAACGCTGGACTGCATGTCGAAGATATCGGCAGTGAACGTGTCGAACATGTTACGCATGTTGTTGACTTCAGCCAGCGTGGCCTCCACACTGCGAGCATCTCCTGTGACGGCCTTCAACTCCGGTCCCAGGATGTTCTCCATCTCCTCAATACTCTGACGAGGGAGATAACATAGAAATTATTTGATAGAAACACAACCAATCCACAACCAACGGACACCGATCAGTTATGTTAGAAACCTTTTTCTACTTACAACCATAGACTAACAGTTCTCTTTTTTTCAAATGTTTCAATTGTCAGTGCATCATTACGGTATGAGTGTAGTACAGTACTGTAAGACATGTTATTATAACGAGTCGCAAATTTAACGATTGTCCAAAAGTCATAGGCTAACGAGAAGACTATGTTAACGATCTTGCAGTTTTCAGGCATATCCGCAAATAACACATAATTATGTGGTATTGCAACCTCAACAGAACTTGCTTTAACGAAGGAATGTCACTCGTTAAAACGTTAGATTTACTTCAACGTTAGATTTACTGTGTCTTACAGTAACAGGACTTTCTCCACCTGCTCCCAGCCCCAAGCCATCTCCACACTCATACAATGGACGAGATAACTACATTTAGAAGACTGTTTATCATGGCAAGACGACGAAAACACAACTGCACATGGCGAACTGAAGACTAAGAGTGCTTTTCACACCACAGCAACACGCGCAGGCACCAACAACACTTGCACACGACGTACACAAAGTAACAAAGCACAGCACGAGTGGCACTCACCTCTGCCATCTCGTAGAGATCCTGGCAGATATCTGCCATGTAGTCCGTGTGCTCGAACAGCTTCTTGCGATCAAACTCCCAGCGCGCGTCCGTGCCGGACGCCTCGATCTTGGCTCGCATGTCCATGTAGGCTGACTTCCAGAGGCGCAGGCAGTCCTGCGCCTGACCAACGGTGCTCTTGAAGATGCCGGATGGTTTCCTAAAGCACACGGAGACGGGTGAGCGGATAGGACATACACATGATACAGTATTTCTCCGATTCAAAGTCATTCTCGATCGTAAGTCATTCTCGATCGTAAGTCATTCTCGATCGTAAGTCATTCTCGATCGTAAGTCATTCTCGATCGTAAGTCATTCTCGATCGTAAGTCATTCTCGATCGTAAGTCATTCTCGATTATAAGTCATTCTCGATTATAAGTCATTCTCGATCGTAAGTCATTCTCGATCGTAAGTCATTCTCGATCGTAAGTCATTCTCGATTATAAGTCATTCTCGATCGTAAGTCATTCTCGATCGTAAGTCATTCTCGATCGTAAGTCATTCTCGATCGTAAGTCATTCTCGATCGTAAGTCGCACTCCCATGTTCAGGTTTGTGCAATATTGTTGCGATATATTCACTTCAGTAGCAAGTCATGCTCAATTGTAAGTCGCAACCCCTTTTTTACACTGTTTTTAATGTAAAAAGGTGCGACTTATAATCGGTGAAATACAGTAGGTATTGTCTTGAATAGCCTCTCTACTGCCGGGCTGTGCGTTCTCTTATGTTGCATTCTTTTGGACAGGGGCCGGGTGAGCTGAAAGTGATACCCCTCTCCCATCTCCCACTGTGTTTTTAAAGATGCCCAATGGTGTCCTAGAGAATAGAGGGCGAGAGGATGACATAGACACGGTCTTTAAGAACCTCTCTACTGGGTGTGAGTACGCTTATGCTGCATTTCTTTTTAGACAGGGGCGGGGCGAGCTGAAATTGATACCCCTCTCTCATCCCTCCTCTCCCCCTCCACTTCCTTTAATTTCTTTCCCCAAACTGCAAAGTGTGCTCAGGAGGAGACCCATAACCCTCTGCCATGACAGACGATAAGCCAACGCGTCATCGGGCTTTCACGGCTGCAAGCGGACGATCAAAAAGGCATCTATGTACACAGCCTGCCGATGGCGCCTAGAAATATTGATTTTTACACTGTGAAACGTTCTTGCAATCTTGAGAGAGCGGCATAGTACAGTACAGTGTGGCAACACGGCTTACTTGAGTACGTTGGGAAAGTCAACGGCGACAGAGACCCGCCTTCGGATGACATTGGCAATGCGCACAAACAGAGGAACCTGCAAACACACACACATACACACACACATACACACACACACACACACATACACACACACACACAGAGATTGGCAGCCACCGTGAAATGTGAATAGAGTTAACGGACTGCCAAATAATTCTCACGCTCACCAACCTTCCTTATAAACTGTCACGGTGAAATGATCCTCCAACCCTATGGCATTGCACCCTCAGGGCTCACCACGACCATACAAAATTCAAAAAGCGTCGACCACCATTTTGAATGCCGTCAAAGCCAGAGTTTGTGCAGTCATAGCGGCTACGCACCCGAGTTCATGCTCATCGATGTACAGCGATGTACAGTCTAGTCATAAAATACCGGTATTTTATGACTCCCTGGTCTACTCTGTACAGCGAAGGGCCAGTGCCGAAGCGAATCTTGTTGTTTGATGTCGAGAAAGACACGCGGAGAAGACGTCCTTTCTCCAAGCACTCTTGGTCATTTTTCTCAATCCGCTGGTGGGTGTCGACCAAGATATGTCCGTGGGGTACTGGTGAACTTGAGTCCTGGCATCTACAAGAATTTGTCGCGCCTAGCTAACCAATGTTGTCAGTAGAACTCAGCGTTTCCTGATCGCGACTCGGCACACTCTTTTCTGTTTGGCCTCGCAGCTTTCACGCTGCGAGTGGGGAGTTTCCTTGTCACAAATGAATCCCTTAGTCATGACCATGATGAGAGGTGACTAGTATGATCCCTGACTGGCATGAGTCCTTAGCTTGAGTCAACACGAAGGTAAAATCTTCACTTGGAACGCTTGCTGTCTCCTCCGCCCTTTCTTGTTGCACTTGCAGATATGCGCACGGCTGCCAGTTTTTGTTGGTGCGCGCGGCGACGCACGGCCGATCTTGAGGCTTGATGTCTTCAAAAAAGTAGAACAGCGGTTCTCCTTGGCCGATTCTCATCATCGATAGCTCATTTTCAAGGTCTTGGAATTCTCTATCGGTTTACCGTCCCCGATTTCTAATTTTCTCTTCATTCACTTGTTTGCACGCCTTCGCGTTTGAGTGATTTCACCATCCGATCTCAGCCAAACGAAGGCCAAATCGAAAAATTCGAGACGGTAACCCCCCCAAAGACACACCTTCTGAACACGAATCCACAATGGCCTAATGTCTAAAACCAACGAATACAGCCAAGCTCCACTCAGAAAACACCCCACAATTGCAAGAAACAGCCCGTTTTGCTGTGCGCTGATTGGTCAAATCCAAATGACCGTTATTGACGCTTTGTATGGTCGTGGTGAGCCCTGACCCTGACCCATGCATGGCATACTGCCCCGTTGCCAGGGCTGCGTCGCGTCCGGAGACAGGAGAGAACACAAAAGAAACACATGTTTGTACAAATCCTCTCACCCGCACGCAGACACGTACACACACGCACACAAACTGAGCTCACCATTCGCTCATCATTGTTATAATGCCGGGAAATGACCCAGACCATGCGGAGTGCCTTCATCATCGGCTTGAAAGCGTCCATTGTGGACTTCAGGTCGATGCCATAAGTTATCTCCTTGAAGTGACGCTCCAAAGTTGACAGAAAGCGAACATTGTCCTTGGCTTCCACCTGCAGATCATGGTCAGTGCGAAGATGACATGGAAAATAACACCGGGGATGCAAGGGACCGTCAAAATAACGATGGACCGCCGCAAGCAGGTTTTGATTGGTCCGTTAATTTCAGTACCTTATACATGTACTTTGTGTATGATATGTAGCGGGGTAGTCACATGACTTTCATACAGTTTGTGTATGATATGTAGCGGGGTAGTCACATGACTTCCATACAGTTTGTGTATGATATGTAGCGGGGTAGTCACATGACTTCCATACAGTTTGTGTATGATATGTAGCGGGGTAGTCACATGACTTCCATACAGTTTGTGTATGATATGTAGCGGGGTAGTCACATGACTTCCATACAGTTTGTGTATGATATGTAGCGGGGTAGTCACATGACTTTCATACAGTTTGTGTATGATATGTAGCGGGGTAGTCACATGACTTTCATACAGTTTGTGTATGATATGTAGCGGGGTAGTCACATGACTTTCATACAGTTTGTGTATGATATGTAGCGGGGTAGTCACATGACTTTCATACAGTTTGTGTATGATATGTAGCGGGGTAGTCACATGACTTCCATACAGTTTGTGTATGATATGTAGCGGGGTAGTCACATGACTTCCATACAGTTTGTGTATGATATGTAGCGGGGTAGTCACATGACCTCCACAGCATTAGACATGGGTTGGTGGCTAGAATGTTGGTCCGGTGATAACCCTGACGGACCGGATCGGTTCCGGGGGGGGGATTATGGTATGCACAGGTGGCCCCTTGTCCTGGGTCACTTGACTCATGTGACTGGAAGTCTGGAAATAGCATCCCTTGGTCCTAGCTGTAGTGGTCCTCTTGGACAGGTGGTCGCCTTGACAGGTTTTACTGTATGTCTCAAAGGGAAATAGGGGTATGTCTCAGAGGGCGACAGGGGTATGTCTCAGAGGGCGACAGGGGTATGTCTCAGAGGGCAATAGGGGTATGTCTCAGAGGGCAATAGGGGTATGTCTCAGAGGGCAATAGGGGTATGTCTCAGAGGGCAATAGGGGTATGTCTCAGAGGGCAATAGGGGTATGTCTCAGAGGGCAATAGGGGTATGTCTCAGAGGGCAATAGGGGTATGTCTCAGAGGGCAATAGGGGTATGTCTCAGAGGGCAATAGGGGTATGTGTAATACATAAGGCAACAGGGCAACCGGAGTATATGTAACAGGGCAACAGGACAGGGCAACCGGAGTATATGTAACAGGGCAACAGGGGTATGTCTAACAACGTAAAAGGGTACTGTAAAGTGAGAAACTTTCGCTAGAGACTAAATTTCGCTATTTTCGCGATCACACTTTCGCGAATATACATCGCCGCAAACCTCTCCATACATTGATTGTAGACAGTACAAGATCCGACTGAAGAGATAGAATCGCAAACGTGTCTCATCGCGAACCAGCCCGATTTATGAAAACGCTAAATTTGCCCGCCGCGAAAGTTTGTCGCTTTACAGTATGTCCAATAGGGCAACAGGGGGGGGGGGGGGGGGGGAGGGGGGGGGGTACGTATAACAGGATACCTGAGGGCAGGGCAACAGGGAGTACATGTACATGTATGTCTAACAGAGAAACATGAGTTATTACCTGTTGTTTGCCGAGGTCATTGCGATGAAAGTCAAACGAGGTGAGCAGTGGCGAATCGATGCGGCGCAGGATTTCCACGGCGCGCTTGATAACGGCATTCTTCAGCTGCTCCAGCAGTGTCGTGTAGACGGTGGTCCTGTCTCGCCAATATTCAACTTCCTCCAGCGGACCATCGCCCTAAAAGTGAGAATCGAATACATAGTCATCGTGAAGAGAATGTAAATCAGTGGTGTTCTCAAAGATTATAGAGCAGGTCTCTTCCCAGGTAGGGTTAATACCCCCCCCCCCCCCCCCCAGCGATAGCGGAGTAATATCCCCGCCCATGCCTATTGGCTGACAGAGCCTGTTGCCATTGGCATTGAATCATTTTTATGATACTTGTAGAATATTCGTAAGTTTGAGGGAGTTGCAAGCAGAAGAGGTCTGGAGACTATATCGGACTGTCACCGCCAGGACTCGAACCAGGGACCCTCGCTTATGACCAGCGATGCTCTGCCACCAACCAATGGTGTAGTCTTCATCAAAACAGCCACCATTCAACACCTTCATGTACATTCACATAAATACTTGTTTGATTGATGTTAAATACTGTGACGCTAATTTCGCAAATGTACTACTGGAAACCATAATTATACACGTACATGTACATATACACGTATATGTACATATACACGTATATGTACGTGTATATGTACATATACGTGTATATGTACATATACACGTATATGTACTGGCCCGGTGGAACCGGTCCGGTTGGTCAGGCCATGGCCGGACACACGTTTTGGCCTGACCAATCAAAAACTGCTTCGGCCGGTCCTGACGTGTATCAGCTATTCAGTTTGGGCTCAACTGGACCCTCTCCCGTAGAGATCTCTGGATCCGCCCCTGATCTATCCACACATGACGACGACGACGGCAGGTCTTACCGAAGGCACTTTCTTCGTCTGTGTCTCCAAGCAATCGCAGATGGCAGTGTCCCACGTCTCCAGCAGTTGTTCCAGGTGAGTGCAGATGTAGGAGTTCTGACATGCTGCCTCCAGGTTCTGTAGGTCTTCACTGGGAAGTTCCAGACGGTCAGCATTTTGAACCTGTTGCAATCAGGATCAAATAAAACCAGAATGATAAATAAATTTATGAATACTTGAAGTGACTTAAGTACCGTATTTCCCTGATTATAGGGCACTGTGGCAGTGTGGGTAAAGACCGCAGTTGTCATGACTACCAGCCTGTGTCTGTGTATGCGCACTAACCATGGCTATCATCAAGACTACATAACCCCCAACAGGGTGCAACTGCCTGCACAACCTCGATACAGTGCTGCGGCGGCAGAACTTCACATCACGTGCCATGGTTCAATAGGTTTATACGCTGGCAAACAGTGCAAAGTGACCACAAGAGAGTTGTCCGCAAAGCTGGGTTGCGTACAACCCTGTATCTATCATGCACAGAGTGCAAATAGTGTGTACGGGTTCATCACGTGATGTGAAGTTCTGGCGTCGCAGACCCCATAGCTGGAGTTGCACACTCTTGGGGTTTATGTACTCTGGCTATCACCCACTCTCTTCACATTGGCTGATGTTTCCACTGAGTCTTTTTAATTTTTTATGAAAGTGCACATGCCTACATATAGAATGGAAGACAACAAGAATAACAGCAAGAGAACATAGGGGACAACAAAGGGCGTGTATGTGCTAAAAAGCTGTCTTGAGATGTTATAATAAGTACAGTAAAGTTTGCACATCCGCTTTACCACAGGTTTACGATTGTGTTGAGAAACACAACCAGCTTAGAGAAGTTTCGCAACTAGACGTTGTTATAAAATTCAATTACTGTAAATATACAAATTTTCGGCAGCTATTTAATTTCGGCTATATTCGGCACCGACCCAAAACGCCTAAATTAAAACGCCGATGAAATTTTTCACAGCATCTGTCGCACTACCATGCCCTCCACCCCACGCCGAAAATAAATCGCCGCCGAAATGTCAAAAATCGTGAAGTGCCGAAATTTTGCAGCGCCGAAATTTTGTATATTTACAGTATAATATATGTTAACTAGTTTGAGGTAAAGAGACAAACGGGAAAAGTCTGAAGAAAAAATTGACTGTCACCACCAGGACTCGAACCAGGGACCCTCGCTTGTAGCTAGCGATGCTCTAACCACTGAGCTATGGTGTAGTCGTCATCCCAGCAGAGACTGCTCAACATTTTCTTCAGACTTCGTAACTCACACTTCCTGTGAATCCACACAGGCGGGTGGGATGCAGCCCTCACTGTACCCACACACTTCACGTACACTCTAGCACGCGGGGAGCCCCAAGTCATAACATCTTCACTAGTTTGAGGGAAAGAGACAAACGGGAAAAGTCTGAAGAAAAAATTGACTGTCACCACCAGGACTCGAACCAGGGACCCTCGCTTGTAGCTAGCGATGCTCTAACCCCTGAGCTATGGTGTAGTCGTATAATATATGTAGAAAGGAAAAGGACATATGGATACGAGTTAAGAGTAACTCTCCATCACTGTAACTGGATACTATATACAGTCAGAAAGTGCTCAATCTGAGGACAGCATGCTGTTTCGTTCTTTTTGAACTCATCAGCGCAGCACAGAGAAAATGAGGCCGAACCTGATAGCAATGGAAATAAAAATTTCCAATCAGGCCCGAACAGTCAGAAAGTGCAATAACTAGGCACAAAACTGACAGAGTACTGAGACATTCGACGTCCTGACACCTAGCTTCAACACATCTCCGTAGCGCTAACCGACAGCCTATAATATATATATATATAAATATACACAATCTGCGGACAGCATGCTGTTTCGTTCTTTTTGAACTCATCAGCGCAGCACAGAGAAAATGAGGCCGAACCTGATAGCAATGGAAATAAAAATTTCCAATCAGGCCCGAACGTACCTTGCCAGAGTGCTCAAACTGACAAGTCAGTGAGCTCTGCATAACGCAAACAGCAAAGGCACTACCCCACGCAAGAGTGCTCAACTGCTACAAGAGCAGGAGCGAAATACTCAATCTGCGGACAGCATGCTGTTTCGTTCTTTTTGAACTCATCAGCGCAGCACAGAGAAAATGAGGCCGAACCTGATAGCAATGGAAATAAAAATTTCCAATCAGGCCCGAACGTACCTTGCCAGAGTGCTCAAACTGACAAGTCAGTGAGCTCTGCATAACGCAAACAGCAAAGGCACTACCCCACGCAAGAGTGCTCAACTGCTACAAGAGCAGGAGCGAATATATATATATATATTATAGGCTGATTGGAAATTTTCATTTCCATTGCTATCAGGTTCGGCCTCATTTCCTCTGTGCTGCGCTGACGAGTCCACAAAGGACGAAACAGTTCTGTCCGCAGATTGAGTATATATAAATATATAAATACTAGGGGTACAGACCGCAGTTGTCATGACTACCCACCTGCGTCAACGTCTGGGACACGCAGTCGGCGAACCTCTTCACGCTCAGCACCAGCTCGGCGTGTCCCTGCACCTCCGCCTCCTCGTCCAGCGCGTCGTCGGGAATGTCCTCGCTACGCAGGCGCTTCATCTTAAGCAGCTTCTCGGCGCCCAGCGATCGCGATTGTCCGCTGCCATTCCCGCTGCCTCCACCACCGCCGTTGGCACTCGTCGGCCGATCGCGCCGTGAAGAGCTGGAGGCACTGCCAGGGCGTGCGTTGCCGGGCCGGGCGCCGCCACGAGTCACCGGACGACTCGCTGCCGAACCCAGGCCGTTCAGGAGGCTCTGCACGGAGAGTGGTGTGTAACATTATACAAACAGACAGACACAGGTCAGTCGGGTGGCTCGTGTATAGGCAGTGCAGTTCAGTCACCACACCAGCAAATGAACGTCATAGGTTAAACAAATTCACGGCTCGCGTGAGACTCGGCTAGAGGCCGAGTTTCCACATTTACATCCGCATCCACTGTGGACCGGCTCCACAGACGATTGACTTCTTACGAGGGATTTACACCCAAAACAGCGCAACCATAAACGGCGCGTGTTCATATTAGCACCCCCAGTACAGCGCGACCTAATGTGACACGGTGTCACTACAGCTCGTCTCATCTCTTGCACGCCCCATTTTGGCGCGACCAATTACGTTAACGTCCGAATATAAGCCAGCTCATTACACACGTGACCCATAATGTGCAGGCTCATGTTAGCAAGAGTCCATAACCAGTGTTATGTACTCTGATCTTGATGTTAGGTGGATATCAGGAGGAAACCCGTTCTTAAAAAAGATATGCAAAAAAGAGAAGAAACACATGAGAACGAGTTGTGCATAGGCCCCAGCGGCAGATGCTAGCTAAATGTTGCCAAGATGCTTTTTGGGATGCTAGCTGACAACTCAGAAAGACGCTAATTTGGATACTAGACAACACGAATTATGCTACCTATTAATGGTAATGGTGAAACATTTGGGTTGAAAACGGTGTTCCGTGCTATTTATGAATTCTCACAAAGCAGGTATGTGAAAAGAGTTTTTAAAGGTGCGATTTTGGCATCATGTTGCTATGGAAATATTTGCAATACAAGAGAGCAAATACCAAGAAGTAACAATGGCAATGTGGGTCTTGGTCACAACTAGGTAATGCAAACAAATTGAGTGTAGTGCATGCAATTATCAATGTGGTAGTACCGTAATACTAGTTTCATAGTGTAATCTAGACCGAATTCCACATCCAGAATGCCAAAATTGCCAAAAATGTATCGGATGCCGGTAAAAACTGCTGTTTATGCTAGCATCGTGTGGAGTCACAAAAAGGCCCTTTTATGCTACTTTGGGTGCTAGCATTTGCCGCTGGGGCCTAGAACTTGTGCAGCAACTATCCACGACTGTAACAAGATGATAAACAGTCAGAAAGTGACTGTGCGATAATAGGGCATGAAACTGACAGGCCACTGAGACATTCAGCGGCCCGAGACCTAGCTCTAACACATCTCCAGTGCGCAAACCAACCTTCCAACTTGGAACGTGGTTCGTGGACTACAACCTATTTGTATCTGGACCTGTTAACGTCCATCCAGGCAATATCGCCATTTAATACTGAACTGGTGTTTTTGAGTCGATAATTGCTTTTTTTAGTTCATCATTGCTTTCTAGAGTTGATTATAAATTGAGTCCAGGCAATATCGCCCTTCAATACTGAACTGGCCATTTCGAGTTGATCATGATTTGAGTCTTTGACAAGTCGAGTGTCCATCTTTTGGGTTTGAGTGTAAATGAGTCGACCTGTATTGAGCGTGCGCGCTGACGGGGTGGTCTGTTTTGGGGATGTCCAGTTATGGGGATGGGGCTTTTGGGGGGCGCTGAAGTCAACGGCGCTGTTTTGGGTCGCGCTCATGTGGGGGCATACCTTACGAGGTACCCTGACCAATCTCAGATCTCGTGACGGAATATGGACAATGATGAAGTGGAGCAAACAGCAGGTGGAAGGCTATTTCACGTATTTGGGCAAGAAACGAATGATCGCACGACAAACACAGCTTTGGTACCATTGAAAGTTTGGAATGGAAACACCCTCGATAGGCGAAAGCCTTTGGGGAAACTTTAAACAATAAAAATTACAAATTACAAATTTAAACACGGCAAGTAGAACAAAGCCAGTGTGGCTACATACCGGGTTATTCCTCTGTTTCTCGCCGGCGATCAATGGCAGGTAGACTAGGCTGACGAGCTCCTCGATGCGTTCCAAACTGCAGTCGCTGTCACCACCGCGGATAGTGCCAACCTCAAACGACGCCGCCATTTTCTGCACGGAATATAGACAAGAGAGAAAGGATCGATAAGCTACGAGTTATGCCTAACACTGAGTTCACCATCTTCTTGAAAATGGGCTTGGCCTGAAAATTCGGATAACTTGACAGGCGCATAGCCCGCATGGAGCACGGAGGGCACCCAGTGTTCACCACTATAAGCTGTATGATCGGGAAAAACCCGGGAGGCCCTCCGAACGCCCACCAAACTATGCGTCTAGATTGCACTTAAATCACGTCACAATACAACCCATGTTACCAAAGTTCCTTTTGTTTCTCTTTCTCTCTTGTTTTCTCTCTCTCTCACACACACACACACACACACACACACACACACACACACACACACACACACACACACACACACACACACACACACACACACACACACACACACACACACACACACACACACACACACACACACACACACACACACACACACACACACACACACACACACACACACACACACACACACACACACACACACACACACACACACACACACACACACACACACACACACACACACACACACACACACACACACACACACACACACACACACACACACACACACACACACACACACACACACACACACACACACACACACACACACACACACACACACACACACACACACACACACACACACACACACACACACACACACACACACACACAAAACACACACACACCACACACTCACACACACACACACACACACACACACACACACACACACACACACACACACACACACACACACACACTCTCTATCTATGTTGTTCTGGTATCACACTTTAGCTTGCCATAGTAGGCTTCAGCCTCTCGTCAATCCATAACGTTATCTTCATCTTTTCCTGAGTGTCTAGCCGAATGGTTAGACGAGAAGGCAGTACAGTAGCAGGCTGGCCGTTAGTCACGGTGGTCTTTAGTTACAGGTTTTACTGTAGTACCAGGCTGGTCGCTAGTCACGGTGGTCTTTAGTTACAGGTTTTACTGTAGTACCAGGCTGGTCGTTAGTCACGGTGGTCTTTAGTTACAGGTTTTACTGTAGTACCAGGCTGGCCGCTAGTCACGGTGGTCTTTAGTTACAGGTTTTACTGTAGTACCAGGCTGGTCGCTAGTCACGGTGGTCTTTAGTTACAGGTTTTACTGTAGTACCAGGCTGGTCGCTAGTCACGGTGGTTTTTAGTTACAGGTTTTACTGTAGTACCAGGCTGGTTGCTAGTCACGGTGGTCTTTAGTTACAGGTTTTACTGTAGTACCAGGCTGGTTGCTAGTCACGGTGGTCTTTAGTTACAGGTTTTACTGTAGTACCAGGCTGGTTGCTAGTCACGGTGGTCTTTAGTTACAGGTTTTACTGTAGTACCAGGCTGGTCGCTAGTCACGGTGGTCTTTAGTTACAGGTTTTACTGTAGTACCAAGCTGGTTGCTAGTCACGGTGGTCTTTAGTTACAGGTTTTACTGTAGTACCAGGCTGGTTGCTAGTCACGGTGGTCTTTAGTTACAGGTTTTACTGTAGTACCAGGCTGGTTGCTAGTCACGGTGGTCTTTAGTTACAGGTTTTACTGTAGTACCAGGCTGGCCGCTAGTCACGGTGGTCTTTAGTTACAGGTTTTACTGTAGTACCAGGCTGGTCGCTAGTCACGGTGGTCTTTAGTTACAGGTTTTACTGTAGTACCAGGCTGGTTGCTAGTCACGGTGGTCTTTAGTTACAGGTTTTACTGTAGTACCAGGCTGGTTGCTAGTCACGGTGGTCTTTAGTTACAGGTTTTACTGTAGTACCAGGCTGGTTGCTAGTCACGGTGGTCTTTAGTTACAGGTTTTACTGTAGTACCAGGCTGGTTGCTAGTCACGGTGGTCTTTAGTTACAGGTTTTACTGTAGTACCAGGCTGGTTGCTAGTCACGGTGGTCTTTAGTTACAGGTTTTACTGTAGTACCAGGCTGGTTGCTAGTCACGGTGGTCTTTAGTTACAGGTTTTACTGTAGTAGCAGGCTGGTCGCTAGTCACGGTGGTCTTTAGTTACAGGTTTTACTGTAGTACCAGGCTGGTTGCTAGTCACGGTGGTCTTTAGTTACAGGTTTTACTGTAGTACCAGGCTGGTTGCTAGTCACGGTGGTCTTTAGTTACAGGTTTTACTGTAGTACCAGACTGGTTGCTAGTCACGGTGGTCTTTAGTTACAGGTTTTACTGTAGTACCAGGCTGGTTGCTAGTCACGGTGGTCTTTAGTTACAGGTTTTACTGTAGTAGCAGGCTGGTCGCTAGTCACGGTGGTCTTTAGTTACAGGTTTTACTGTAGTACCAGGCTGGTTGCTAGTCACGGTGGTCTTTAGTTAAAGGTTTTACTGTAGTACCAGGCTGGTTGCTAGTCACGGTGGTCTTTAGTTACAGGTTTTACTGCATGTCCAATATCAGCATACCCACCCCAGCTGGACTAAGCCAGCCCTTGACACAGACGCAGACACACATACATACACACACGCACCCCCCCCCCCCCCCCCACACACACACACGCACACACATCACATTCATTTTCTCACCAGATTCGCTTCGTCTTCATCGGACGCCTCCAGTATGGCATCGTTGGTGTTACGAATGAAATACACAACGTTGTGGTCACCAACTGGCTCCGTCAAGTGGTTCCAGATGTTCTGAATGCGCACACGATACTCCAAATACTTCACGCGCTCCTAGATGAACAGGGAAAAGTGCCAGAATGAAACAGCAGCACTTAGCCATGCTCCCGCTTGCAGGGGAGGATTGAAGCAAAGAGGCAGTGCCGGGAACTCTGCACTGGATTATATGCTCATGGAGCTGGTATGTGTGGGGGTGTGAATATGTCACCAGACTAGAGTCATCACTGAGCGATTTCACACACAGAGGTGGATATCCCCCGTAACACTGCCTCCTGTGTTTGCCCACTAGGCCAGAATGTAGCTGGTGTGTGTGCGTGTGTGTGTGGGGGGGGGGGGGGGGGGTGAATCTGTCACCAGGCTACAGCCAGCACTGAATGAGTTCACACGGAGGTGGATACCCCCCCCCATGGCCAGTAACCAAGTGACTGCACTGACTTCTGTGTTTGCCCACCAGACAAGAGTGGAGCTGCATGGTGCAAGTGTGAATCTGTCACAATTACGCAGTCTCAACACTGAGTGATTTCACACGGAGGTGGATACCCCCCGGGTCCCGTAACACTACCTTCTGTGTATACCCACTAGGCCAGAATGGAGCTGGTGTGTGTGCGTGTGAATCTGTCGCCATAATGCACGGAGCACTCAGTGAGTTCACGCAAATGTGCCCCCCCCCCCCCCCCACACACACACCCATAACACTGGCTTCTGTGTGTTACCCACCAGGCCAGAATAATCACGAGCTGGAAAGTGCTAGTGTGAGTCGGTCGCCACCATGCAGGGCCAGCTTCAGCTTGCGTTGACAAAACACTACACAGAGCGCGGCGTGTGAATCCGTCACCACAAAACAGCCAGCACTGAACTCACACAAACGCGGATACCCCAATAGCACTGCGCTGGCTTCTGTGCCCCCCCCCCCTGAAGACCAGAATGGAGCTGGCGTGAGTGTGAGTGTGTCACTAGGATAGAGCCAGCACTGATCTCACAGGCCCGTCGCACCGACTTTGGAGGTGGGGCGGCCCTGGAAGGGAGGGGGGGTCCGGGGGTCGTCCCCCGGGGAAAAAAATTTCAAAATTGAAGCCAATTGCAAGCATTTCCGGGTATTTGGTGCCATTTCAGTGTACGGTAACTACAATGAAAGTCTTTTTGATTCTGCAACAAACGAAGAAGACGCTACAATCCGGGACAAACATTACCCTCCCCCCGGGGAAAAAATTCAAAAATTGAAGCCAATTGCAAGCATTTCCAGGCATTTGGTGCCATTTCAGTGTAACTGCAATGAAAGACTTTTTTCTGCAACAAACCACGATCGGGGACAAGGATATGTCACGTTTGCGCTAAGCTGCGATCATTGTTTGTAAAGTGCTAAAAAAAATATTTAAAAAACGGCCGAAAAAGTGGGGCGGCCTCAGCCGCCCCGGCTGTGACGGCCTTGTCTCACACAAAGAGTGGATACCCCGGCCATTCCACTGTACTGGCTTAAGTCACCGTGACAGTCACCTGAAATGTTAGAGTGGAGCTGCATGGTGCGAGTGACACCTCCAAACACTCACCCACACATCAACACACTCGCTCACACCTCCAAACACTCACTCACAGGCCTACACTATAACCAACCTCTTTGAGTACGGGAGCATCCGCGGGTAGACTGGCCTCGGATGATGTAACCAGTGCTGACTTGTCATCGGATGTCTCACCTCCGCCCTGTGCAGCTGCCCAGGCCAAACCAGACCATCCCGCACGGACACACAGCAATAATACTCACAATCAGGCAATGTGCTGGCACCGGGAATCAACCGCTGCTGCATCTCTGCTTTACAGACCACCCGGTGTTGGATTTATGTGGCGCCACTGTGCTTGTACAGCCATGTACATCGGCATTGGCTGAAATCCAACCCCTGCACCGCAGCTTTACAAGCCGTCGGTGTTGGATTTATGTGGCGCCACTGTGCTTGTACAGCCATGTACATCCGTACAGGATGAAATCCAACCCCTGCATCGCAGCTTTACAAGCAGCCTGGGGTTGGATTTATGTGACGCCACTGTGTGTGCACAGCCATGTACACCAGTACAGGATGAAATCCAACACCTGCATCGCAGCTTTACAAGCAGCCTAGGGTTGGATTTCATCTGACAGCATTGTATGTGCACAGCCATGTACATCGGTACAGGATGAAATCCAACACCTGCATCGCAGCTTTACAAGCAGCCTAGGGTTGGATTTCATCTGACAGCATTGTATGTGCACAGCCATGTACATCGGTACAGGATGAAATCCAACACCTGCATCGCAGCTTTACAAGCAGCTTAGGGTTGGATTTCATGTGACAGCATTGTATGTGTACATGTACATGTACAGTGGTACTAGGCGAAATCCAACCCCAGGCCCTGCATTTCAGCTTTACACATTTCAAGAACTTCAAGGAGGTTGGATTTCACTTGGCAGCGCTGTGTATGTACAGTAAAACCTGTAACTAACGACCACCCCTTCCTTGGGGCCAGAGAAAGCGGTCATTAGTGGCAGGTGGTCCTTAGTTAGAGGTTTGCACCGCACAACCATAATAATTATGAATGTGAGACCGTCCGTGCCTGGCGAAGTGGTCTGTAGTAGCAGGGTTGTCGATAGTCTAGGTGGTCTGTAGTACCAGGCTGGTCGCTAGTCACGGTGGTCTGTAGTTACAGGTTTTACTTTACGCCATCTGCATTCAGGCATGCCTACAGGTAATTGTGTGTGTGTGTGTGTGTGTTCCTTTTAAAAGAGAGTGTGTGGACAGGTTTTCATTTGGCACTATTTTGCCGCCATTTCTCCAAGTGTGTCTTCACGACCATGCGCTTAACCCCTATCGCAGGTGCAATGAAGTCTTCAACACAACAACGTCTCCTTGGTTACGTACACGGTTCATTGGCAGCACTGGCACCATTGGCAGCGCCCACATCCTCTGCACTTCCATTCTCCGCCTTGCGCCTCTTCTCCTCTTCTGCTTCTTTGGCAATGAGACTCTGCTCCTGTCGGTACCGATCTGGACCGGAACCACACACACACAGAGCACACTGGGTCAGTCCATAGTTGTCAGATCAACAGACTTTGATGTGGTGTGGCTCAGCCTACACCTGTATACTTGGGGAGGAACGTTTTTTTCACATGATACGTGAAAGCAAGATAACGTACCTCTCTCTCTCTCTCTCTTTCTGTCTGTCTCTCTGTCTCTGTCTGTCTCTGTCTCTGTCTTTCTCTCTCTCTCTCTCTCTCTCTCTCTCTCTCTCTCTCTCTCTCTCTCTCTCTCTCTCTCTCTCTCTCTCTCTCTCTCTCTCTCTCTCTCTCTCTCTCTCTCTCTCTCTCTCTCTCTCTCTCTCTCTCTCTCTCTCTCTCTCTCTCTCTCTCTCTCTCTCTCTCTCTCTCTCTCTCTCTCTCTCTCTCTCTCTCTCTCTCTCTCTCTCTTCTTCTTCTTCTTTCTTTTCTCTCTCTCAGTCTGTCTCTCTCGCTCTCCCAACAACACCATCATCACATCTATCTATGTATTTATTCCACATCCCATATCAAGCAATGGCCGAGTAAAATGTAGGGGGCAATAAAGCCACTGTGTCACCAGCATATCAGTGACATCACCAGCATATCAGTGACATCACCAGCATATCAGTGACATCACCAATATTAATACAGTCATGCAGTACATCATTTTTTACATAATCATGACATCATTGCTATGTATTCATGGCATCATTGCTATGTAATCATGACATCATTGTTATGTAATCATGACATCGTGTACCTCCATGTAGGATGCACGACTCCTCGACAGTGTAGAGATCTGCAAAGAACAGCAGGGCGCTTGGTGAGGCCGGTGATTCCTCAGTTCCGGCATTGCTTCCGGTCACCTACATGTACAGTGTATTCAAAGTAGGGGTGAAACGGTTACCCTTTAAGGTAACAAACGGGTATCTGGCTTAAAAGGCGGGTTATCGGGTACCCTTTATCCGCCATACTTTCCCAAAAACATTGCATTTGCCTGTGATCGTAAGCGCAACATGTCTTTTACAGGCATTCTGAAAGGAGAGAGATTTTTTCTGGCAACAGTTACTACAATAGCTTTCCGGATTTCGCGCCAGGAGGATATGCGAAGTCATGCAATTACACTACACCGCGACAAGCACAGCATGCACACTCACTGCGCTACATGCAAACAGTCAAAATTGTCGTAGCTACAATGGATACCGTGATATGATGTAGCAGGATTGAACAAGCAAAAACTCAAAACTGTGCACCGAACATTGGTTCAGGGTAAAATCCAACCAGTGCATCTCAGCTCCACATGCCACCAGGGGTTGGATTTCATGTGGCGCAACTGCACGCGTACGTGTATTTGCCAGCACCCTCCACAAAACCAGCAAATATTTTCAGTATAAACCAAAAGGTCCTCTTCATGCACATTGCAGCAGTAAATTAGGTTTGTTAATCCAGCACCCTCCCTAATCTGAGAATTTCCGTAGCACGAATGGTGCCGGATCATGAAGGGACCACTGTTGATAGACATGTACATGTACGCACCGGGTCATTCAAGTAGCGCAGTAGCTTTCGTAGCACCGAGCCGTTGTCTGCTTCCAGCATTTCGTCGAAGGCATCCAGGACGTCTTCCGCCTGATTGCTACTTTCCAGGACGGGACTTCCTCCAAGTGCTTGCACCTTGGACAGACAATGCACACAGATACACGCATGCACGCACACACGTGAACACACACACACATACATGCACACACACACACACACACACACACACACACACACATACATACACACACACACACACACACACACACACACACACACATGCACACATTGATCAGATGCTAGTAATCTCAGGAGATATTGAAGAGCCCATGAGGGAAGGGTTGTTTCTGGTGGTAGTGCTGCTGCCGCTGCTGCTGTTACTAAACAAAATTATTCTCACAACGGCCAGTGGCCTATAAAAGATAACACTTATTGCTGTTGCTGCTGTTGTGGTCATTGTCGGCGCTGTCGTCGGTGTTGTTGCTGCTGTTGTGGTCATTGTCGGCGCTGTCGTCGGTGTTGTTGCTGCTGTTGTGGTCATTGTCAGCGCTGTCGTCGGTGTTGTTGCTGCTGTTGTGGTCATTGTCAGCGCTGTCGTCGGTGTTGTTGCTGCTGTTGTGGTCATTGTCAGCGCTGTCGTCGGTGTTGTTTTGCTGCTGTTGTGGTCATTGTCAGCGCTGTCGTCGGTGTTGTTTTGCTGCTGTCGTGGTCATTGTCAGCGCTGTCGTCGGTGTTGTTTCTGCTGTCGTGGTCATTGTCGGCGCTGTCGTCGGTGTTGTTTCTGCTGTCGTGGTCATTGTCAGCGCTGTCGTCGGTGTTGTTTCTGCTGTCGTGGTCATTGTCAGCGCTGTCGTCGGTGTTGTTTCTGCTGTCGTGGTCATTGTCAGCGCTGTCGTCGGTGTTGTTTCTGCTGTTGTGGTCATTGTCAGCGCTGTCGTCGGTGTTGTTTCTGCTGTCGTGGTCATTGTCAGCGCTGTCGTCGGTGTTGTTGCTGCTGTCGTGGTCATTGCCGGCGCTGTCGTCGGTGTTGTTGCTGCTGTTGTGGTCATTGTCAGCGCTGTCGTCGGTGTTGTTGCTGCTGTTGTGGTCATTGTCAGCGCTGTCGTCGGTGTTGTTGCTGCTGTTGTGGTCATTGTCAGCGCTGTCGTCGGTGTTGTTTTGCTGCTGTTGTGGTCATTGTCAGCCGCTGTCGTCGGTGTTGTTTTGCTGCTGTCGTGGTCATTGTCAGCGCTGTCGTCGGTGTTGTTTCTGCTGTCGTGGTCATTGTCGGCGCTGTCGTCGGTGTTGTTTCTGCTGTCGTGGTCATTGTCAGCGCTGTCGTCGGTGTTGTTTCTGCTGTCGTGGTCATTGTCAGCGCTGTCGTCGGTGTTGTTTCTGCTGTCGTGGTCATTGTCAGCGCTGTCGTCGGTGTTGTTTCTGCTGTTGTGGTCATTGTCAGCGCTGTCGTCGGTGTTGTTTCTGCTGTCGTGGTCATTGTCAGCGCTGTCGTCGGTGTTGTTGCTGCTGTCGTGGTCATTGTCGGCGCTGTCGTCGGTGTTGTTGCTGCTGTTGTTGCTGCCACCGGTGATTTCATCAGTGTTTTCGTCACGTGCCCTTAAAAAATTTGACTTTCGTTCAGCATGCATATAATGACCATGAATGACATGCACCAGCTATCCTACACATAGATTGAATGCAGCCATGCACCCTCCTAAAACGGGGGGGGGGGGAGGGGGGGGGGGGGGGGCAGCAGCTACACCCTTGCACCCATGGCTCCTTCTTGCTTCACTTGTTTGTTTGTTTGTGCATATTTTACTTCGCACATACAACAGGAACTAGGCCCAGCAACATGAAGGCAAATATGGAAGGAAAGAAGCAAAGGAGGAAAGGGTATAAATGACAGGAAGATAAGACAGAAGAAAATCACAAAGCAAAACAGGCCAGGCGCCAGAACTTACGCGCTCTCTCTCCTTGTCGCTGGCATTGCTGGCAGCCTCTAGGTACCTGTCCAACGCTAGGCTCTCCAGCACCTGCTGCTTCAACCAGGCAATACGGTGGTCCTCCATGTTGCCACGCCCGTTGCCAGGGCAACCCTTGGCACGCTTGCGACGTCCCTGGGGGGGAAGACAAAGGAAGCACGAGTTTGCATGCGCCGTACGGCAATAGTCAGCAGGGTGTGTGTGTCTGTGTGTGTGTGTGTCGCATTAAAGCGCAGCGTTTATGCTCATTAACCCTTTAGAGCCTAAATTATTTCAGGAGACGCATGAAATTCACAAACTCACATTTTCATCTGACTGTAATTTCGATATCCTTTGGAGTATTCCAACAATCTCGGGCTCTATGGAAAGCTCTCTCCAAGACGAACACAGCCATACCCAGTTCGCAATTGATAGAGTCGTAGGAGTAACGCCGCAGCGCGATCCGAGCGCTCCAATGCCAGACCTGCGAGCGCGGTACTAAATTCTCCGCCATTTCAACAATATCGATCGCAGAACGGTCAATTTTTTTGCAGGAGAGACCTTCAAAATGCAGCTTGAAAATGACGTATGCCAGTCGTGCACGCGTCGCCAGCGAGTCAGGGAAAATCCCTTGCTGGCGTTTCAAATTTTACGCCGCGCGAGCCGACTTGCCCACGCGAATTTCGTTCGAGTGTCGTAACTCTGCGCTATGACCTCGGATCGTCTTCGGGTTTTTTTGAGCCGACAGCTGAAGCTTTTCTGATACGATTAGACCTTTCGTTTGTTGAATTCGAACAAGGATTGACTGAATGACGAAAGTTTGAAGTCACCTCAGCATGCACTGTACAGTCTGGCGGATATATCCGTCCTATAGGCGTTATAGGGTTAACAGCTAGCATCATTGCAGCTCACCGCCGCGGGTACGTGCTGCCCCATGTCCTCGAATGCACATGGTGCCGCACAACTGCCCCATGCCCTTGCATGCGCATGGTGGCGCACAACTGTCTTCGCCGCCCTTTGTCCTCGCAGGCGCGTGGGGCCGCACACCTACCTCTGCCGCCCCATGTCCTTGCGGGCGCATGGCGCCGCACAACTGTCTCTGCTGCCCTGTGTCCTCGCGCAGGCATGGTGCCGCACAACTGTCAGTGTTGCCACTCACATTCACCCCAGCGCACACAACGTGCCCATGACGTCAGCAACCATACCGATGTCCGGTTACCATGACGCAAAAATGGCGACCCATTTTTCTTGCTCCCTTGCTGACAATCTCTTCTCAAGAACTGTTCATGGTGGTGACTGGTTGTCAGTTTATTTGTTTCTTGTTCCCACCCTCCCACTCCCATATTTATCCTCACATGCTTACTTTTATAAAGTAAACCCCAATAAACGGTGCCCGGCGGCTCTCCATTTCTCCATTGAATGCATCAGTGGGCTCTTGGCTCTTGCCAACCCTGCTATTACTTGCCCCCCGGGCAAATGCAATTCAATTTCGCCGGCCGCGCACCATCCACCCAAGCAATGTGTGTTCTTGTTAATGTGTGTGTGTGTGTGTGTGTGTGTGTGTGTGTGTGTGTGTGTGTGTGTGTGTGTGTGTGCGCGCGCGTGTGTGTGTGGGGGGGGGGGGTGCGTGCGTGCGTCTGTGTGCTGGAGACGAGTTGCGAGTAGCGCTCCACCGCCACGGCCCGCTCCTGATCCACTTCTATGTGTCTGTGGACGCCCGTTTCGTCGACCAGGAGACCTGAAACGACATGCCAAGTTCTGCGCTCGTGTTCTCACTTGAACTTTCCGACATTCGCTATCATTGCGTACGCAATGGGCAAGATCAAGGTCAAGGTGTGTGTGTGTGTGTGTGTGTGTGTGTGTGTGTGTGTGTGTGTGTGTGTGTGTGTGTGTGTGTGTGTGTGTGTGTGTGTGTGTGTGTGTGTGTGTGTGTGTGTGTGTGTGTGTGTGTGTGTGTGTGTGTGTGTGTGTGTGTGTGTGTGTGTGTGTGTGTGTGTGTGTGTGTGTGTGTGTGTGTGTGTGTGTGTGTGTGTGTGTGTGTGTGTGTGTGTGTGTGTGTGTGTGTGTGTGTGTGTGTGTGTGTGTGTGTGTGTGTGTGTGTGTGTGTGTGTGTGTGTGTGTGTGTGTGTGTGTGTGTGTGTGTGTGTGTGTGTGTGTGTGTGTGTGTGTGTGTGTGTGTGTGTGTGTGTGTGTGTGTGTGTGTGTGTGTGTGTGTGTGTGTGTGTGTGTGTGTGTGTGTGTGTGTGTGTGTGTGTGTGTGTGTGTGTGTGTGTGTGTGTGTGTGTGTGTGTGTGTGTGTGTGTGTGTGTGTGTGTGTGTGTGTGTGTGTGTGTGTGTGTGTGTGTGTGTGTGTGTGTGTGTGTGTGTGTGTGTGTGTGTGTGTGTGTGTGTGTGTGTGTGTGTGTGTGTGTGTGTGTGTGTGTGTGTGTGTGTGTGTGTGTGTGTGTGTGTGTGTGTGTGTGTGTGTGTGTGTGTGTGTGTGTGTGTGTGTGTGTGTGTGTGTGTGTGTGTGTGTGTGTGTGTGTGTGTGTGTGTGTGTGTGTGTGTGTGTGTGTGTGTGTGTGTGTGTGTGTGTGTGTGTGTGTGTGTGTGTGTGTGTGTGTGTGTGTGTGTGTGTGTGTGTGTGTGTGTGTGTGTGTGTGTGTGTGTGTGTGTGTGTGTGTGTGTGTGTGTGTGTGTGTGTGTGTGTGTGTGTGTGTGTGTGTGTGTGTGTTTCATCTGCCTCCCGTGCTTTTGGAGCGCTCCGTCATGCTGTCTTCAATGACCACAATCTCTCTCTGCGCACCAAGCGTCTGGTTTTCGAGGCCTGTGTTCTGTCCTTACTGCTCTATTGTGCGGAGACGTGGGTACCGCTGCAAAGTGATGTGCAACGGATCACGACCTTCTACTACCGGTCGCTTCTTTCCATCATGAGTGTTGCACAGCGGGATGTGTGGGACTTGAAGATAGCCAAGGACACCATTCTGAAAACATGGAATGCAGCAAACCCACTGGATATCCCCGACCGCCTCATGCAGAGAAGACTGGAATGGCTTGGGCACGTGGTACGCATGCCTGAGGAGCGGATGCCGCGGATGTTGTTGTTTGGCACATTGCTGCCACCACGCCCAGCGTGTGGCCCGCGGAAACGATGGCGAGACGCAATTAGGGTCGACCTGCGACGAATAAACATCGCCGACGAGTCATGGTTTGACACAGCGCAGGAACGATCTGAGTGGCGGCAAGCTTATCGAGCAATACAACCAGCTCAGAAACCGGCTCGGGAGATAGTCTGCGAGGTGTGCCGGCGTGCATTTGCTCGGCAGCAAGATATCGCCCGCCACAAGTGCATCATGGAACGGCGTAAACCAGTCCAGCAGCAAGCCAACAGCCGCCAGTGCTCCCAGTGTCACCGATGGTTTCGGAGTGCGGGTGGCATTGCAGTCCATCGCTGTGTCCAGTCCAATTCTGCCCCGAATGTTGCCAATGCCACAAGCTCTTCACCTGTACGCCTATGTATTCGGAAACCGTGCTGTACCGCTCACTGTCCCATTTGTGAACGCTGCTGTAAGTCGATCCGGGGCTTTGCTATCCACAACTGCAACCGATCCACCAGGCGCCCAACTGCTGATGAAAGGGACAAGTTCCAATTGCAATGTCAGAATTGCCGGAGGCGTTTCAAAAGGCGAAACGACTTATCCCGTCACCAACGCTCATGTCTCCTCTCGTCTCCGTCTCGCTCAACGAGAAACACGTGACCTACATGGCAGTGTATACCAGGACCAGGACCAGGACCAGGTGTGTGTGTGTGTGTGTGTGTGTGTGTGTGTGTGTGTGTGTGTGTGTGTGTGTGTGTGTGTGTGTGTGTGTGTGTGTGTGTGTGTGTGTGTGTGTGTGTGTGTGTGTGTGTGTGTGTGTGTGTGTGTGTGTGTGTGTGTGTGTGTGTGTGTGTGTGTGTGTGTGTGTGTGTGTGTGTGTGTGTGTGTGTGTGTGTGTGTGTGTGTGTGTGTGTGTGTGTGTGTGTGTGTGTGTGTGTGTGTGTGTGTGTGTGTGTGTGTGTGTGTGTGTGTGTGTGTGTGTGTGTGTGTGTGTGTGTGTGTGTGTGTGTGTGTGTGTGTGTGTGTGTGTGTGTGTGTGTGTGTGTGTGTGTGTGTGTGTGTGTGTGTGTGTGTGTGTGTGTGTGTGTGTGTGTGTGTGTGTGTGTGTGTGTGTGTGTGTGTGTGTGTGTGTGTGTGTGTGTGTGTGTGTGTGTGTGTGTGTGTGTGTGTGTGTGTGTGTGTGTGTGTGTGTGTGTGTGTGTGTGTGTGTGTGTGTGTGTGTGTGTGTGTGTGTGTGTGTGTGTGTGTGTGTGTGTGTGTGTGTGTGTGTGTGTGTGTGTGTGTGTGTGTGTGTGTGTGTGTGTGTGTGTGTGTGTGTGTGTGTGTGTGTGTGTGTGTGTGTGTGTGTGTGTGTGTGTGTGTGTGTGTGTGTGTGTGTGTGTGTGTGTGTGTGTGTGTGTGTGTGTGTGTGTGTGTGTGTGTGTGTGTGTGTGTGTGTGTGTGTGTGTGTGTGTGTGTGTGTGTGTGTGTGTGTGTGTGTGTGTGTGTGTGTGTGTGTGTGTGTGTGTGTGTGTGTGTGTGTGTGTGTGTGTGTGTGTGTGTGTGTGTGTGTGTGTGTGTGTGTGTGTGTGTGTGTGTGTGTGTGTGTGTGTGTGTGTGTGTGTGTGTGTGTGTGTGTGTGTGTGTGTGTGTGTGTGTGTGTGTGTGTGTGTGTGTGTGTGTGTGTGTGTGTGTGTGTGTGTGTGTGTGTGTGTGTGTGTGTGTGTGTGTGTGTGTGTGTGTGTGTGTGTGTGTGTGTGTGTGTGTGTGTGTGTGTGTGTGTGTGTGTGTGTGTGTGTGTGTGTGTGTGTGTGTGTGTGTGTGTGTGTGTGTGTGTGTGTGTGTGTGTGTGTGTGTGTGTGTGTGTGTGTGTGTGTGTGTGTGTGTGTGTGTGTGTGTGTGTGTGTGTGTGTGTGTGTGTGTGTGTGTGTGTGTGTGTGTGTGTGTGTGTGTGTGTGTGTGTGTGTGTGTGTGTGTGTGTGTGTGTGTGTGTGTGTGTGTGTGTGTGTGTGTGTGTGTGTGTGTGTGTGTGTGTGTGTGTGTGTGTGTGTGTGTGTGTGTGTGTGTGTGTGTGTGTGTGTGTGTGTGTGTGTGTGTGTGTGTGTGTGTGTGTGTGTGTGTGTGTGTGTGTGTGTGTGTGTGTGTGTGTGTGTGTGTGTGTGTGTGTGTGTGTGTGTGTGTGTGCACTGGTCAGAAAAAGCCACTTCAATCAGCTGTGTGGTGGCTACCAGGCTAAAATTAGTGGCGGTCAATTCATCAGCCTTGCAAGCTGTAGGATGGTGTAATCCCAGCACAAGTTGCTATGTCTACCATAGCTGTTCACTATCATCGCCCTCCGTGATGGGCAGGTCTGTGTGTGGGTGTGTATATGTGAGTTCACCAAGCTACACATAGTGAATGGACGTGCACCCGCGTGATTTGAAAGCCCGTTCCCATGGATATTTGCCTTCAAGGCCACAGCATTTTCTGACGTCACAGTGTCTCTGACCAAGACTATACGTGTACGGAGAAATCCGACCTCGTGGGTAATATAATAGTGCATGCCGATGGCTACGCGGCAGTCCTAAGAGCATACACGCCACTCTGCCCACACATGGGGCGTAGCTCACGCATCTGTGCTGCGGTGACCAGCGACGGGCAACTCATAACTCATAATCGTGTGCACGGCACCTGTAGTGCACACGACGGCCATGTGCTGGTGTGGTGACAGGACTACGCCGACTATACACGAGCTATGCGCCTCTACATACTACAGAGGCAATCGTGAAGTGATCACCCAGGACTAGAGAGGTCGCACACAGCGAAAATTCTTTTAAACACCGTAACGCAACATTTTAGCGAAAAAAAGCTCACGAATATTCGTAAACCGTGTGGTAGCGCACAATGTGTAAACTTTGTCGTAGTACGCATTCCCGGACGTGTCAGGTTCACTATTGCAGTACAGTCAGACCTCGCTTAACCGCACACACATCCGTTTTCCACAAAATATCCGGATAGGCGAGGGAACCGGATAACCGAACACTAGTTATGTTGGATGCATCACGTATGCTGTAGATCTGTAACCAGCTATTTTCTTCCGGATGGCAAGGGGTCCGGATAAAAGAGGACCAGATAAGCGAGGTCTGACTGTACCAAGAGAGTTGTAAAATATCAGTATTTTAGTACTCCATGTGCCAAAAAAGTTAGTTTCGTAGATCTGCACTGTTTCGGTCGCGTTTGGACGAATCTTCATAGCAACTAACTTGCGTTACTCGAACCCGGATGGTCAAGATCTTACGAATTTACATTGTGTGCAACCTCTCTACTATCACTATCTTCGTGTGTAAAATCAATGGACTGCGACTGGGGAACGGCGGGGGGGGGGGGGGGGGGGTCGGGTAGGCGTACGATGCGTTGTGACGGTTGCCCCCTGCCCTGGTAGCTAGTCGTACATCTACCCGTAGTCTACCGTTGTATGCACGTCATGTACTCTTGTGGACATGGAAATCCGGTCGCACGTCTAGCGGCCCCAGGGCGCTGGCCATGCAGCCATGGGTAAGCAGTACACACATCATGCATGATATTATGTCATTGTGCGCGTCATGCAGCGCGCTGGTCGCATCGGATCAACATGTGCACTGTTCTGTACGCGCTGAGGGCGCCGGCCCCGGTCAATCGACTGGATTTCCATGTCCACGACAGTACCCGCACCCCTACTGCCCTAGTTCCCCACCCACCCGTCACGGTCACACAACTCTCACAGTCACACTCAGCCCCGGCCCAGGTGTGCCCCGCTCAGTCATCATCAAAGTCTCACCTTCCCGGCTCTAGCTCTCACTGACGAGCAGCCTCAAGAGTCAAGTATCCACGTCTGCGAGCGCCATGCCTCGTGAGGGTGTCGCTTAGCGCGCTCCTGATCTGCTTCCGCAGTAGGTGCTACCTGCGATCCCGCTGTTGGATACTGGTCGACCCACGTTCAGCACTACTCGTTCACACCAACGACAGCCCGTGCCGAGCAATACACAAGCAAACAAAACTCAGCCCCTCCAAGTCTAACTGTTGATCGTTGCGACGAGAGTGCGAATTATTTTCTTGGTTTGAGTTTGACGCGATCGACGGCTTCACGAGGTAGAGAGACAACCTGACTACGGAGCGACGATAGCGCGCGAGTATTTCCTATGAATCAGAATGGCATCGTAGGTCTAGACTACATGTGCGCAGCCAGAACTAAAACAGAAGGCTGCAAATGATCCACCAACCACTGTTCCTGTCGCGTGTCCGCCGTCGATCGAGAGTCGCGTGCATACAAGGCTGTCAAGGAGTTGTCATGGCAGCGATCGTTGCTACGTACAGCGCTCCCGAGCAGCGCGCAGGCTAGGCGAGCTTCCTCAGTTCCTGTGCAGTCATTGCTTATCCGTCATCATGGTTATCAGGGAGTCGTACCAATTATTATAATAATTATGTATTTACCGAAACCAAGCTCACGGTGGAAAAATGTCACAAGCCGAGACTGCCATCCCTGGCTATGGCCCTCCAATGCGGTTGGATAGGACGGCTCAAGGAGGTGGTGTCGCTGTCAGGGTGCGCAACGACCTAGCGGCTATTGAGCTAGACATGGTTCCCCGTGACAGGAGATCATTATGGTTCACCGTCCGTCTGCGATGTGGTCGAACAGCTGTTGTTGCTGCCCTGCACAGGCCTGGTAGTGCTCCGGAGGGTGACACCAGCCTCATGGAGTACCTTGATCGCACTCTCGATGCTGCCTGATGTCATGGTACCCAGTTGATCCTTGCTGGAGACTTCAACGTCCACAACACCGACTGGCTTCATAGTACAAAGACAACACCTGCTGGCGAAGCAATGGAGGAGCTCAGTGCTGCTCATCACCTCACCCAACACGTGCTTGAGCCAACCAGGGGCAATAACACCCTGGACCTGGTCCTTTCCGACTTTGACACCCCGGTCATGTCTACTGTGCACCCACCTCTCGGCCGATCTGACCATGCCAGTGTGATTACCGACTTCCTACGTGCTCCACCACACCGGGAGCCTCCAACCTCGAGGTGCGTGTGGCGCTATAATTTGGCTGACTGGCCACGTTTAAAGCACTTCTTCTGGCAAACAGGCTGGTCCTCTATCATCACTGACAACATTGACCTGTCATGCGAGCGGCTGACTGGCAAGATCTCTGAGGGCATGACAACGTTCATCCCGTCCAAGAGCCTCAAGCTGCACAGTACCGGCCCAGTGTGGTGGACACCAGAGTGTACCGAAGCCACCAAGAGGAAGCGAAATGCATGGCAGCGACTCCGTCTGCATCCAGCAGATGCACAACTCCAACTGGCTTATACCCAAGCCACAGCCACTGCCTCAGCATGCCTTCAGAGAGCTGAAGATACCCATGCAGCAGCCATCCATGGAAGGCTCGCAGCAGGTGGTTTATCCAGTCGTGAATGGTGGTCCACTGTCAAGCGTGCCGGTGGGTGTGGGCGTAGCCATGATATCCCCACCCTCAAGGAGGAAAACGGCGCGGAGCTCCCAACCAGTAAGGACAAAGCAGAGAGCTTTGCCCGCTACTTTTCAGCGAAATGCAGCCTTAGTTGATGCCAGCAACCTCCCGTGTGTCCGCCCGCGATCTGATGCTTGTCTGAGTACCATCCACTTTAGGCCACGACAGTATGCCGTGAACTGAGGAAGGTTGTCCCGTCCAAAGCCACTGGCTCGGATGGTGTACCAGGACGAATGTTGAAGCAGTGCTGTGAGGAACTGTGCAGGCCTGTGGCCCAGCTTTTCAGCAAAGCATTCCGCCAAGGCCGGCAACTGTCACCATGGTCACTGTGGAAGCTTGCCTCAGTTGTACCTGTGCACAAGAAGGGTTCGAAGTCCGCAACAAAGAACTACCGACCCATATCCCTGCCGCCAATACTGTCAAAGGTCATGGAAGCTGTCATCAATCGTAGCCTTATGGGATTCCTTGAGCGCCAGCACATCCTCACCACTACCCAGTACGGCTTCTGCTCCGGCCTGGGAACGCAGGACCTCCTTACCCTACTACACCATCGTTGGAGTACCGTGGCTGCAGGGGGCAGAGCTGTGCGGGTTGTTGCTGTAGATATTGCTGAAGCGTTCGATCGAGTCTTCCATCCAGGTGTGATCCACAAAGCCCAGCAGTACGGTATATCCGGCATGCTCCTTGCATGGTTGAGGGACTACCTGCTGGACAGGCGCCTGAGTGTCGTCGTTGGTGGGCAGTCGTCCAGCCCACACCGCATCACAGCCGGAGTTCCGCAAGGTAGCTTGTTGGGACCGACACTGTTCCTCCTCTACACGAACGATGCCGATGACAACCTTCCACCAGGTGTAGATCTGGCCGCTTATGCCGACGACACAACGCTGTTTCAGTGCCTGTCCACCATGGATACCATTGACCACAGCTCGACAGTCCTGCAAAATGCTCTCGATGCCCTTGTGAATTGGGGCACCAGCTGGAGAATTGCGTTCGAGCCAGCCAAGTCCCAGGCCATGACTTTTGACCATCACCGCCCCGCCTGGGACCTCCCAGCAGTACAGTTTGCGGGTGTCCCCCTGAATGGAGAGAGTAACCTCAAGCTTCTTGGGGTAACCTTGGACAGCCAACTTTCCCACCGTAACCACCTCCGTACAGTCGCCATCAGAGCACGCCAGCGTCTCGGGCTCCTGCGGAAGGCCTCGCCGCTCCTGGATTATCGCAGCCGAGCTACAGTGTACCGTGGGATTGTACGCCCAGTAATGGAGTACTGCCCATTGGTCTGGATGGGCGCAGCAGATTGTCACTTGCAGCGACTTGACCAGACGCAACGCTCAGCCCTCCACTTGATTGGCCCCGGCTTGGTTATAGTATAGTACCAGGTTATCGTGTTCTTGTTTGTATAAGTCATGTGCATCATACATACATAGTCATTGTGTCGTCTCGATCTCCCTCCCTCCCTCTCTCTGTCTCCCCCCCCCCCCTCTCTCCCTCTGTCTCTCTCCCTCTGTCTCTCTCTCTCTGTCTGTCTGTCTGTCTCTCTCTCTCTCTCTCTCTCTCTCTCACTGTCTCTAGCCGTCATTCCTCTCTTATTTAGACCGGCAGACATCTGTCTATAGCAGTACGACCTTTCCAGCATGCATGGAGGCGAATCACAGAAAACACCAGAAACACCAGTGGGGTGAATGAGCCACGCTCAACGTTCACAACCCGACATTACCACCATCACCATCATCACCACCATCATCATCATCATTATTACCACCATCACCAGCACTATCACCACCACCACCATCACTACCACCACCACCACCAGCACTATCACCACCACCACCACCACCAGCACCAGCACCACCAGCACCACCATCACCACCACCAGCACTATCACGAGCACCACCACCAGCACCAGCACCAGCACCAGCACCACCATCATCACTACCACCAGCACCACACAGCTCAAGCAAGCATACAGGGTCTGCCTGACAGTGAGACACAGGCTCCTGTGGACCGAGGCCATCATCATCAGTGTAGTCATGGATATTATAACCAAGGCAACGGTAAACCGGTGCGAGTTCATGAAGAAGTTAAAACTAGAGTAGAGATATGCGTTAAATGCAGATAAAACTAGATGTTGAAAAAGACGCGCGCACAAACAGGCGGCCGAAACCGAAGACGTACATGCTACAAACGTAGGCTGAGGCAACGGGAAGCTAGAGTGATTGCTTTCTCATCAACTGCAATCGTCTGGCTTGTAAGTAGCGTCAACGACAGAAAATCAATTACGCACACACACGCACACACACACACAAACGCACGCACACATACACACGCACAAACACGCATGCACACACAAACACACACACGTAGGCACATGCACACACACGTAGGCACACACACACACGTACCCCAAAGCACGCACACGGATGGGGCTGGTGTACGTCAGTGAGCATGCATCACAGGGAGTCCATGACAGAGAGTCCATCATAGGGGTCTATCACAGGTAGTCAGGTAGTCCATGGTAGGTAGTGCACACGTAGTGCATGACAGATAGCCCATCACAGATCAGCTCTGTAGAAGAGGAGAGAGAAGAAGAGAGAGAACGGTGAGATTCCTGGCAGTCATTGCTATGCTGAGAGCTGCAACAGCTTCAGCGCCAGCAACCATGATTGTCACAAGCACCAACACCATCGCTAACACAGGAAAATGAAGATTTCAAATATTTAAAAAAGGTTTCCGTGGAGATAAGCATGATATGAAGGCAACGAATAGAGTGAGTTGCGCACTCTGTGCAAACACCATGAACAAAAACTACATGTTATGCATACTGTAGTTTTGCGGATAAAAACATGGCCAGTATAGAAGCAAGACTCGAACACATGTAGAAGCCGATCTCTGCAAAATGCAAAATGCACGTGCAAATACTTGCACGACGCGTGCGTGGCAGCATGCACTGCACAGTGTAGACTGACGATGTTGACGAAGAAGCAAGTTTTGAATAGAAGCATAACTTGAGTAGAAGCATGGTTTGAATAGAAGCATAACTTGAGTAGAAGCATGGTTTGAACCCCGGCTTATACGGCCGTAAGCACCAGCTTCTATACGTGACATTACGGGAGGGGGGGGGGGGGTCCGTATTCATAGTAAAGAAACGGACCAAGGAACTACAAGTAACGCTACAATGTCCACTAGTCCATGGCCACACGTCCTTGGTCCTGTTCTTTACTATAAATTAATCAGCGGCTCTCCATCCGAGCCTATTCATGCATACTCCTTGAACGTTTTCGAGGCCATCTCAACTGCAGGATTTACTGGCGAATAATGACCAGTATAAGTGCGTATAACTCGTCTATGGGTTTATTTTATTTTATATTTTTTACAATGATCACAGCTCACAGGCAAAGACAAAAAAATGCATAGTGGGAGCATAGTGATGGTGAGGCTTTTTGCCCTCAGCCGACCGGAGGTCTCGACGTCATGGAGACATAAAAGTTATGATAAAACGCACCAAAAAGAAAGAAGAAGAAAACATGAAGGAGTGACAGGCACATGGTACGAAATGTTTTTCTGCGGCGGCAGAATGCCACATCGCGCGGCGGACCCGTGCACATGATTAACACCCCGTGCGTAGCAGAGTCTCTGCCGGTCACTTTCCACTGTTTGCCTGTAGTGCTGGCAGAGCGACCTATGCGCTACTACAGTAGTGATGCAACAAACGGTGTTTCCTTCGAGCGAATATGCTCTCGAATCTTGCCTTGACGAGCGAACGAATGTTCTATATTCTTCCGCTGTGCCTCGATCACTTCACATGCAATTATTAGACCCAGCATTCATGTTGCATACCGATCACGTTCAGAGTCAATAGTGTAAACCATATTCAATGATGAACAGCTCTGCTTTCCCAGCACAGTGGGTAGAACAGCTCTGCTTTCCCAGCACAGTGGGTAGATTGCTACTAGGCCTACGTCTATTTCGATTCCCACTACAGTATAAATAAAGCACTCCCAACCCAAGCTCCGTATCCCATTCTATTCTTTTTTGTATGAAGCTCTGCACCCCGGTGCATTGAGCACTCTTTCGAGGACCACACCCAACTTTCCGTGTGTAAATAAAGCACTATAATTTCAGAAATTTTAGGTGCTCGATATTTTCGGTATGAGGGCAAAAGGCCAGGTTGGGTGAACGGAAATTTTAGGTACAGAGATGCAGTTCCCTATTGGAATATGTGTGTTAGCGTTTGTTCGGTGTATTGAAATGTTAGGTATGAAACAGACGCACCGACAGTAGCGAAAATAAAAGCACGCCGAAAATGTGTGAAATTACAGTATGCAAGAACAACGACAGCTGGATAGATACTGTGGACAGGGAGTTCCAGAGTCTTGGGGTGGCGGACTCTTGCTATCATCATCAATAGAATGAGCACCAGCACTAGCATCATGAACAAGACCAGGCATTTCGTCCCCGGGCAGCACAGCACATCACCCACTGACCTTGCTCTTGTCTTTATCTTTGTCTTTGTCCTTCTTCTTCTTCTTGTCCTTTTTCTTCTTCTTCTTGTCGGACTCATGCTCACGATCGCTGTCCCCATGTTTCCGCTGTACACGCCGCAACCAAGCACACACATGCGCGCACACACACACACACAAACATACGCACACATACAATCATACACACACATACACACCATTGGACCATTGGACGCCCATCGCCGGAGGTGATGATAGCGATGCTACAGCAGAAGCCATAGCAGCTTGTGCTGGGATTGCACCATTCAACAGCTTGCAA